AATTTCATTCTTGGTTTGTTTAAAAAAATTAATTTTCTTTTGTCTTGTTCGTCATTCATCGTTTTTCGGTGTCACTGCTGAAAAAATATTTTTTTGCTGAGCACTTTTATATACACTTTGTAGATTTTNTTTAACAGAAAGAAAATCAATCATTTTAGATTAATGAATGTAAGAAATCTTTCCTTACCTTGATGTAAAATTTGAATATTTCACACGCAGCTGTTGTCGGAAGAATATTGTAAACAACAAGCTTGCAATAAGCTGCCAAATAATTTCTTTTCTTATGCAACTCTTCAATTCTTGTCTCATCTTGAACTTCTTCATATCGTAATGAGAAAACATAAGTTTTTACGAAATTTATGAGAAGCTCCTTCTGAATTTCAGTCGGACGATATTCCATCATTTGAACATATCGATTTGCACTTTTGCCAAGATTAGCTGAGAAAATGACAAGCAAATCGCAAAGAGAAAGATAAGCCTGGATGGGAAAATAAATTTATATTAAAAAATTTATTTTAGTGAAAAGGAAAATAAATTTACAGCTTCTTTGATGCTAATCTTGTCAGCTTCTGGAATCAGTTTATTAATTACGTCCATATACTTCTCCAAATTCCGTCGCAATTCTTCTGCAGTGTAAGCCAAAGCTGACGATTCAAATGACGATTCAATTGTACTTAAACCCCAACTGATTGAATAGAAACATGATTCAATGCAATAAATCAAAGCCTCTGTTGGAATGCTCTTTTCATGTGTCGTATCTGCTAAATATTCCTCAATATCTTGGAATAATGAAGTAAACAAACTCCATGGATTTAAATTATGACAAGAATAAAGAATCGAGACTTTCTTTAAACTTATGCAAACCTGATGAATTTCATCTTCATCAGGCGTCTCCTCGCCAGCAATCAAATTTCTCCAATCATCAATAGCTTCTTTATATCCATTAACACTCAAGTCAATAATGTTTGATCGTGCGACGTCACATTGTGTATAAATTGCACTGCCTTCGGTACAAAGAAATTCAAGTGTTTTAGCGCAAGCTTCCAACACTTCACGATCTGTGCTGATTGACATGATGAGAGTAATTTTATCAAGAAGTAATTTAAGTGAAGCTTCTTGTCGCGATGTCGTGTACATCTCCAAGTCGAAATACTGTGGAATGCTCAACAAATTGATAAGCTTTTCGTTTTCAGCGCTATATTTATCCAATAAATATGGCAGAGTTTGAATAAAATGTTCTGTAAGCTTCGATTTATCATCTTGAACTTGTTTGATCTCTTTGGCTGAGAGAGTTTTTTGTCGATTACTTCCACGACCAACTGGTGGTTCACCTAATGCGACTTGCTTCACTGCACTCACCATGATCTCAATTAATGATGACTCTTGTTTGTTATCCATGACTTCTTCGTTTGGTCCCGTTTCTTCAAGTAAGAGATCAGTCATACATTCCCAATCTTTAATCATCGGATTGTTCTCAATGAAAGCATCAACTAAATAAGCGCCGTGTTCATGAAGTTCCGATTCAATGAAGAACTGAACCAAGTCACGAATGAGTGGAGTGTTTTGTAATCGTTTCTTTCCACGACGTGTGTAAGATTCAACTACTGGGTCAATAAAGAATAATCGAACGTTTAAAAATTCAGCAGCAGCTTGTGCAACACCACGATGTGATGAATAAACAAGTTCGTAGACGATTTCGCAATCTTTATCTGTGAGAATGTCTTGATGTATCTTCAGAATTTTAATGACAAGCTTTACAGCGTGAACCGCAACTTCATATTCTTTATCCAATGTCATAGCAACAATTCGATCTTTAAATTTCGATGTGAAAAGTTCGAGTTTACTTTTCAATTCCTCATTTTCATACAATGGCAATAATGCTTGTAAACATCGTAATCGAACATCGCCAACTTTATCATGAAGTGTCCATCCAATATATTTCAAATAAGAATCATCTAAGAAATTTGATGAGAATTTCTGCATCCAAATTCCAATTTCAGTCATACAAATTGCACGAATTTCTGGCAATGTATCACGATATCGATGAACGAAAACCGATTTGAAAAGATATGTGAGCATGTTTTTAATCTCGTCCATGTTCTCTTCTAACTCTTGTCGTTTAGCAAGTAAACTTTCAATTCGATCTTCCGACACATCATGTGCTGGTTTCAATCTTTCACTGTCGTATTGACGATGAGCATTATCAAAATTAATTGATACGAGAAGTGCGACGTCGACTAAAGCTGTCATCAATTTCATTGCGGCAAGTGTTGCTGTATGTCTAAAAGCACGAACTTGAGAATCCGACAATCCAGTTAACAACGAAATGACATTGTCCATTAAGAACTGGTCGTAGATTATTGAATACTGACATTGCTTGACAAGTGTCTGAACGAAGTCACAAAAATGACCTTTAAACTTTTTCCATTGTTGTCCAGCCATAATCAGAGGATATTCTCCGCTTTCCTCATCAAACTCTTCCGTCATTTTTCTGATTATTGTTGTGTGCTCCATTGATGATTGCATTTCTGGTGTTATTTTTCCCTTACATCCGCTTGCATTGATGAAAAATTGCATTAAAGCAATTAATGCTGTTTCACGATCAATCTTGTAATTATCAATCCACTCGTCTACAATTATCTGAAAGTTTTTCACAATTAAAATGCTTTGAAATGTTATTTAAATCTTTTATCCTTACAGTTATAGTATTTTTCGAATAACGAAGAATCCAAAACAAACTGCTTTCATCAGTTGTAATCTCTCGTTCACGGACAACACGTTCTTCCGCTGGCTCTTGATGTTTTGGTTCACGAGGTGCTCTTGGTGGTTTTGGTTCACGTTCAATCTTTTCTTTTACTGGTTTTGGAATTTTTCTTTTACGATTTGCCATGAAAATATCTTCATCATCTTCGTCAATTATGGGAGGTTTTGTTGGCACTCCACCACGAGCTCGCAATCTCGTCATTCTCTGGCCTGATGGACCAGCTTCGTCCTCATTGTAAGAAGGATTGTCACCCATACTAAAATATTTCATTAATAACTTAAACAAATATTTAAATTTATGAAACTTACTAATATGATTCATATTCCATGGGTGGCATCTCGTCCATTCGAATTCTTTTTCCTTTTGAAAACATTTTTTTTCTTTCGGAAGATCCCGCGCTAAAAACCAAAACATAAACAAATTGAAATTGTGAAATTGAAAAGTTAAAATTTCATGATTAATTCAATAAATTTTAACTTTAATCCATGTTGATAGCATCACTATTTACCTTTTTTAGCGAATTAAACTAAATTTATCATCAAATTTGACAGGATATTCTTATTTTTGGAAATAGGTAGTTTATAATTTTCCTGTTTACTATTGTTTAGGACTTCTACACTCCGTGGAGCTTGTAACTTTTCACCGGTGACATTTCAATATTTTGTCGGCGCCGTCTTTAGTTAATATAACGCCGCTTATTTTCCCCGAAAAACATTTGGTTTAAATAAATTATTTAACTTTATCAATAATAATGGATGACGCAGAATTATTAGAAGTAGATGATGATTATTACGCTTTTCTTAATCTTCCGAGGGATGTGAGTATTATTCATAATTTGTTAATAACAAAATTTTCATTTGTTTCGCAACTTACATTTTCGATTTCATTCAGGCGACTCTTGAGCAAATTAATACTGCTTACAAGCAATTATCAAGACAATTTCATCCTGACAAGCATATTGATCCTGCGAAGAAGAAAGATGCTGAGATGATTTTCAATAGAATAAAAACTGCTCATGCTGTGCTGAGTAGTCCTGAAGATCGGCAAATTTATGATCTTCTTGGAACAAAAGGACTTCGAACAGATGGTTTACAATTAATTCCTAGGTGAGTTAATTAAGTATTTAATATATTCAATTGATGTGTCACACATAATATTTGTCTTTAGGAAATCCTCACCATCAGAAATTCGTGAAGAGTATGAAAGGTTAGCTAGAGAGAAGGAAGAAAGAAGACTTCAACAACTGACGAATCCAAAAGGAAACATAACACTTCATGTCAATTGTACTGATATTTTCAACTCTTACGAGACGGATTATGAGTAAATAGCATTTGTTTTCCCTTGTTGATAAAAGAAAATTAAAATTATTTTTGGTTTTTAGTGAACCTGGAATGTTTTCAAATATTGAAATTGCTGGTATGACAATGTTTCAATCTATCGAAGTGCCGATGTCCTCAAATAATGTAGCAACATTAGCTGGAAATCTAAGTGTTTCAAATGGTCAAGGTAATGGTCGCTTTACATTATCAGCGCGCAAAATTCTAAGCTCAAAAGGTTGGATAGAAGTTGATGTCGGTGCTGGAAATGGCCTAAATCTTGGTGGCAAAGGAACAAGAAATCTTGGGAAAAGATATTTCACTACAGGTCAATTGAATTTGAATTTTCGTCCGAATGGAATTGTGCCGGCACTTGTTGGAACGTTTGCAGTTCAACTTGATAAGCACACAGTCGGTTATCTCACATATTCAGCTGCTGGTATGCAATCATCATTATCAACAATCATTGAACGAAATACAGAAAGAAATTACGTGAATTTAACATTTTCCCTTGGACTCCCACATTCGTTTATCTCGTGTAACTACATTCGTCGTCTCATTGAACAAGAAATGAAACTTAAATTAGCCGGAAAAGTTGGAACGTTCGGTTTCATGGCTGAATATGGCGTAGAGAAAAAAGTCAGCAAGTATTCATCGCTTCATGCTTCAGTCACATTTGGAGTCCCAACTGGAGTCGCTTTAAAAATTCGTTTCATTCGATCATCACAATCTTACAATTTCAATATTCAGTTAAGTGAAAAAATCATCCCAGCCGCACTTTTCTACGCTACAACGCTGCCCATTATCTCGTATTTCATTCTGAAGAAATGCATTCTTGAGCCTTTGGAGTCAGAGAAACAACGAGAAGTGATTGAGAAAAAGAAAGAAATGTATGAAGAGAGACTGCAACAGAGACGAAAAGAAGCTGAGGCTGCAATTTCATTAATGTTGGCTCAATATGAAAGAATTTGTTCGGAAGAAGAAGCTAAAGCTGGTTTAGTCATCCTTCATGCATTCTATGGAAAATTTGACGATGATGAGGGTGAGAATAAGAATAATTTGCATCCACAAATTATTATTTATTTCATGTTTATAAATAGATAACTTGGAAGAGATGGTAGCAGACGATAGAAGCAGTTTTATTGATGTTAAAATTCCACTTCAATGTTTAGTGAAGGACAGCAATATCACAGTGCACACATCGTTAAAGGTAACATGGTTAATTATTAAACACTTTTGACTACAATTTCTCTTATTTCTTCAGTATGAACTTCCCGGATTTTATGACCCCGCGATAGGAGAAAACAAAGTGCTTAAAGTTCAATTTAAGTATAGAAACAATCTGGAAACGGTTGTAATAGAAGAAAAAGATGAAATTAAGCTTCCATTAACCAAATAGATAGAAATTATTGATTTTATAGTGAAGTAAATTCATTAAAACAAATAAATTCATTGTAGTTGTTAAATTTTTGAGTTGTAAATAAATTTTATATCAAATGAAAAGTTTTATTTTGTTAGTTTTTTTATGTGTTCATTATAGCAACCACTCTGAGAGCATTCTTTCCCTCGCTTCCCATCGAAGATGGAAAGTGAACGATCATCAATAGCAATGACAACTGGTCAGAGACCTATCGTCATGCCGGCTTCACGCTCAGGAAAAAACGCCACAACTCTTCATCATGGCTGGTTTTGGTTTCGAGTAGAAACGATAAAGCATGAAGACTGACTACAGAAATGATCCTGTGAAATACAGTCTTAACATTTCGATCGATTTCATTCCCTACCGACAGAACTATTTCTGAAGAATATTGTGAAGTATGTAAAAGGAATGAAGAAATTTCATCTCAGTTTCAAGATTTTTTTTCCTCTTATATTTTGATAAAATAATAGTTGCAGAAATTCAAATTAAAGTTTTATCAAATAATTCTCTTGAGTTAATCTTGAATTAAATTTCAAAGAAAAAAATATCAAAAATAAAAAATACCAACGACACGTAACGTTCCCAAGCGGTCACCCATCTAAGTACTAATTACGCCCGATGTTGCTTAACTTCGGTGATCGGACGAGAACCGGTGTGTTCAACATGGTATGGTCGTTGACAAATATTTTTAGCTGAATCTTGTATATAAATAATCAAAAATCCTCTTAAAAATAAACAAAGTAATCGATGCTTTCGATATTCGAAAGGATTTCCAATTTATTTAAGCAACCACTGGAAAAAATTTTTTCGTTAATATTCGTCATTTTGTCTTCAAACGTTGAAACACTCAGTTGAATTAAAAGAATTCTCTTTCATTTGGAAATATTTATTTTAACTTAAAAGTGTAATGGATCAATCAAATATTGAAGAGAAACGGGCTCAAGAAGAAAAAACAGCGGTTGATGAAGAAGTAATTTTAATGAAATTGAAAATTCTGAAACTTGACACCATCCAATGACTTGCACGTTTTATCTGAATTTTCAAATTTATTTTTCAGATAGAAACCCAGGAGAGCTCAGGCTTAGGAACCCAGAAAAGTTCGGTCTTAGAAACCCAGGAAGTTCCTGATGAAAATATGGAGCAACAAGAAAACGACTCATTTGAAAGTGACATCGAATATGGCTCAGGTTCGTTAAAAAATTAATTAATCTCATTGCATCCTTTGTCTTAGTTTCTTGATTTTCTTTAGATATTGAAGAAAATTCTGAATTAAACTGTGATAAAGATGAATCAGAAGAACATTTAGATAAATTCACAGAAAACGCAAATATAAGCAATTTGAAAACTGGTTCTGAACTTCAAAGTGATTTTCTTATGTCTCCCATGCCAACAACTTCCTATAAAATGAAGAATGAAGGTAAATTTTACATTAATGAGAAAGAATTTAAATTTGACTTGTCTTATATCAAATAGATGATTTAATTCGAAGCATCTTTTCTCCAAGTATTGATGCTCGTAATCCGAAAAATTCAATCTCTCATTTGGAAATTCTTCCAACTGAAGAAGAAATCATTCAGGATACTCCACAAGTCACTAAATCACGTAAACGGAAGAACGAAGGAGAGCCATCAAGTATTCCTAAAGCATCAGTTAAAAAAGGAAAGCTTCCAATCTCTTCAGAACTTTCTTGCGAACCTGTCACCATGCCAATAGCAAAAGCTCTAAAGAAGCCTACTAAAAGAAAGCCGAAGAAAAAGAAGAACAAATCAAATGTATCGATGAAAGCCAAACCTAAAGCCAAAATAGGAAAACGTAAGCCGGCTAAGAAGACCAAGGAACCTGTGCGCCGATCAACTAGAATTGCAGAGCAAAATAAACTGAAGGAAGCCCAAAACTTAATTTCGCAGACAAAGAATATGAATGAAAAATTGAAAAACCGTCGTCGTTCAAAGAAACCACCACCAAAGTCTAAATCTAAACTTGCTTCAAAATGAACTTGTTGAATATATTTGAAGAATGTTTGATAATAAATTATTTTGATTGAAATTTATCTGATTTTGATGTCCTTAAAATGTTTGATTAGTGTAAGAAAATTCTTCACAGCTTCACAGAGCAGAGAGAGAAACGAGCCAACTTTGAATCAATCAAGGAAAAGTCTTAAAAAGATTTTCTTTTCAATTTTCTTTATTATTTTTCTAATAGAATAAATTACACTACTAAACTGAATATATTTATTATACAGTTTTCATTTTATTATTGATTCAATTGCGTTTATCGTCAAGTTTCACGATACAACAAATTACATTTACTTTATTATTAGATTGAATTTTCATTTTTTCTCTTCAAAAAGGACAAATGAACGAGCATAAAATTAATGATATTTTTATACAAACAGAAGACAAATGAAAATCACATTTTCTTGAAACATCTTAATCATAATTTTAAAATTATATTTACATTAATTAATTCAGTAGTTTTATCATTTTTATCCCGCATTTTAAAAAATTTAAGAGTTCCCAAGAAATTCAAAAAATTATCAAAAAGAAAAAATACCAACGACACGTAACGTTCCCAAGCGGTCACCCATCTAAGTACTAATTACGCCCGATGTTGCTTAACTTCGGTGATCGGACGAGAACCGGTGTGTTCAACATGGTATGGTCGTTGACGAAAGTTTTGCTGCTTATTGTGAAATAATTCAATCGCTATTATAGTTTACGATCATCACGAATTTCCAGAACAATTCATTCATACTCTTGTTGAAACAGCTGTTTTTGTGAGTTGTTTTATATAGACATGATGTTCGTTTTAAAACAAGCAAGTGTTATGACGGGGTGACCGAGTGGTTAAGGTGCTGGACTGCTAATTGATAGGATCCGTCCTAGAACAGCAGAGATCCAGTGGGAGTTTTCCCGCGTGAGTTCGAATCTCATCCTCGTCGATTATTATTTTTAATAATTTATTTTACTGAGGTCTGATTCTGAGGCAAGCCACCGTCTGGAAGTCATGCAAAATTTTCAAAACACTTATTGCTTGAACGAACATAAAGGAAATAGCCAAAGTCAAATTTTATAAAAGATAAAATAACAAGTGGCATAATTTATATTAAATTATAAATAAAAGTTTTGAACTTTCGTATTGTACACAAATGACGCTTATTGCTGTTTGCTTCGCTTATCACTTAAGAAACTGGCAGATTTATCATTTCCTCTTATTAAAAGGCACTTTTTAAGAATTAAAAGATGTATGGTGAAATTCGCAATGCAATTAGCTGACGTAGTATAATTTGCTGATGCTAAAGATTTAGAGATAAAGATTGTATAAAAGAATATCGCATTCATCTTCACGCAGTTATTCGGGGTATTTCTTTCGTGCAAAATGAAAAGTTTAATAAAATTGTTGTTAATATTTGGTTTTTTGGAAATTGCTTTAAGCAAATCTGTTGAAAGTGAAGAATTTGCATTAATTGGAGATGTGGAAATTGATGAGATTACCGGTGATGTCGATGAGAAAACGTTAATTGTTGAACCCGAGCCTGAACCGTTGAAAGAAGATGATGGATTTGTGAATTTTGAAATTCTTCCAGATGAAATTTTCGACGATATTTTGGCGAATGTAACAAGGTTTAGAAGCACAAGAATCGTCTATGGAAGCATTGCTAGTACAAACCAATTCCCATATTACGCATATCTAATTATTTACCGTCCTGGAGTTAGTATATTCTGTGGAGGCACTTTGATTACCACTCAATGGCTCACCACAGCAGCTCACTGTGTAAGAGATTATACTGGCGCTCAGGCTTACTTTGGATCGATAAATAAAAATAATATGCCTGTGAAAATAACAGCTTCTGGACATTACGTTCATGAAGATTGGGATCCTTCAACTCTTGCCAACGACATTGCTTTAATCAAACTATTGACTGCTGTCCCCATATCAAGTGCAATTAACACTGTTCAACTTCCACCAAGATCAGATGTATCGAAATCATACGACGGTTCTGTTTTAGTTGCATGTGGATTTGGAAAAACTCATGAAAACTCATTTCCAACGTATCTCAATTATGCTTCTATTAATGGAATATCAGATTATGATTGTTCTCTCGTTCATTGGGTATTTAAATCGACTATGCTTTGCGCAAAAGGATTGAATACTGGAAGTAGTACTTGCTTCGGGGATTCTGGTAAGAAATCAAACTTAATTAAATAATATTTAAACATTAATCAATCTCTGCTGAATTTAGGTGGCCCATTGATTTATCAATCAAACGGAATATCGAAACTGGTTGGAATTAATTCTTTTTTTCAGACAGAACATTGTGTCAACGATGTTCAAGGATTCACTCGTGTTGATAAATATTTAGATTGGATAAGCGCTAAAACAGGAGTCACAATTTCAGATGAATGAATTTAAAGTGTTAGAAAGATCTCATTCGTTTGTTCAAGCGATGATTTCCAACATATTATGCATACAAAATAAAGTGAAATTTTGGATACAATAAATTTAAACTTTTTTTTAATCATAGAAAAATCAGAGTAAAACAACATATATCTAGTCGAAGTGTTTTTAAGTTTTCTATTTTAACATGGCACATTTTCTTAAATTATTTAGTTAAAATGAAAAGACTGGACTTAAATTTTCGGAAGAAATGATACCAAAAATTATTTTTATTTATTTTCATATTGAAAATTTACTTTCATTATAATTCATTAATAAAACAATATTTACAACTCATCTCCAGTGTGAATGCCTTTATTCCCTCGTTCTTTGATTTTATCCCATTCGATGANAATAGAATAAATTACACTGCTAAACTGAATATATTTATTATACAGTTTTCATTTTATTATTGACTCAATTGCGTTTATCGTCAAGTTTCACGATACAACAAATTACATTTAGTTTATGATTAAATTGAATTTTCATTTTTTTCTCTTCAAAAAAGCGATATGACAAAAAAAGAGCATAAGGAGGGCAATTAAAATTAATGATATTTTTGATTATATTTTTATACAAACAGAAGACAAATGAAAATCACATTTTCTTGAAATTTCTTAATCATAATTTAAAAACTATTTACATTAATTCAGTTGTTTTATCATTTTTATTCCGCTTTTTAAATAAAAGAACTGAATTTGATATCGAAAATCTTATTTTTATTTATTCGTTTAAAGCGCGAGTATAATGAAAATGAAATAAATCTATTTACAACAAGCGGAGTAAGATTATGCTAGAAGTTGCTCAATAACTTTTTTTAATTAGAAAAATAATTCTTTTTTCCAATAGCACAAACAGTGAATTGCATAGCTTTGCTGTATGCATTTAACATTAGTTTCTCTTTCAAAAAGAAGCATTTAAGCTACATTTGAGAAATCTCTTTCAGATTAATTAAGCTACAATTAATTGATGTATTTAATTTCATTACATGCAACCTTGACAAGTAAAGTCAGAATTCTATGTTTGATCGAAAAATATTCTTTTTCTTGTGATTAACAACAGGAAGATCAATTATTGAATTAAAAAAATAGGCAGTCAAAGATAATTCTGAATTTTCTTTTCTTAGTTTGTTGTTTAAATATTTTTATTTAGTCCATATTGTAAATGTTCTTCACCTTTGAGCATTTTAAATCGTAATTAATCCTCGGCTACTCTAAACAGTATTTAAATTGGGCAAATATCCGAATAGCTTTCATCGTGAGCCAATATTATTTTTCTGTTTCGAATTCAATTAATGAAGATTGAATGATGTAATAATGCATGATGAAATTATTAAATAGTAAAGCGTGACAAGCACAAAGCCATTTTAACTCTGCTTCTTAAACATTATTAACGTAAATGTGATCAACACTGAAAAAAGAAAGGAAGGAAATCAAAATAAATCAATTATGAGTCAAATAATTATTTTTTAACTACCTACGCGAAGAGCGTACTTTCAATGTAGCTTGTGGGAACGAAGCCTTCTTCCAAAATATTTCCTGTCATCATTCTTCGAACACGCGTCCAACCATCACCTTGATCAAGTTCAATAACATGGAGCTCTTCACCTTCAGCCATTGGGATGCTTCCTTCACTGGTAGCTGTTGAATAAATGAAAAATGTTTAACAAAATATCTTCAAAAGAAATCTTGAAAATTACCTTCGAATGGATAAAGCGCTTTGCATGTTCCAAGTGGTTGAATTGGTTCAGTATCATAGTACATATCATCATTAATATGCTGATCATTAGTACTTCCCTGTCCCGATCCAGGAAGTGATGAATGTGATGTTCCAAGACCACTTTCAGGACTTGCCGAACTGCTGCTTATATTATGATGAAGAATTCTTTATTAATTTAAATTTCAATTAATATTTCAATATTTTTCGAAGAAAAGTTTAATGTTAAATATGAAATCGTCTAACTACTTCTAAGCTGAATGATTTTGTTTTTCAATATTTAATCCAACATCAAACTACAAGAAATCAAATATTTTCAAACTGAAGAACTTGTTAGAAGAAAAGTTCATACACCGAAGCTAAAAGAGCAGCACCAAGCAAATTGGCTGCAACTTTTCATTCGTAAGCTAAGTTTCAAAATATAAACAAGATTCATTCACAAGTTAACAAAAAAAGAAGTCACAATGACTACCAAACGAAATGCTTTCAAAAGATTTAAGGTAAGAGAAACTATGTACCCGTTATTGTTATTATCATTGTTATTATTGTTTATATTAAGAAGCCCCCCATTTTGTGCACCACCGTTTTGCTCGTGTACCACATTATTCTCAGATGCTGACCTGCTCAAACTGCGATTGTCATCGACTTGATCGTCACCGTCATCATTGCTACCATTGGAATGTCTAGAAAATGGTTAATGATGGCAGTTAGTTGATGTTTATTAGTTCCATCATGAAATGTATTTGATTATGAAAACTTACCGTGATGTTCGATGATTTCCATGTCCACCGTTTTGATGTGTCAGGCGATTGGTTTGTGGACTGTGTTGAGCTGACTGTTGTGACTTGACTTCTTCGAGAAGTATTTGATATTTGCGCAGTTCATTTTTAAGCTTTTCAAGTTTGTGTTCACATTCTCTCAGTTCACCTTGTACGGTTTGCGGGTCACCAAGGAACGTGTTACTCTCGTAAACTCCTTTCATCTTAATCAGACCATCTCTAGCTCCTTGCTCTTGTGCAATCTTCTGTTGAATCTCTTGAATCTTTGAAGTTAACTTCTTCTTTCTCTGGGACGGTGGCAGATCACTGAAGTCATCCTTTGATCCATCCGCCGAAATTGAATTCTATTAATAAGCAATTATTTCATTAATGTCATTGTTATTTAATTCAATTACAAAATACACGAAGAATCAAATAAAACATATCAAGTAAGTTGACGATAAATTCTCTCCAGTTTCACAAAAACCTTTTTTTGTTAATTATCTACACAAATTTTGTTATCATCGTATGAGAAATATAAAATAAATTAATGTTAGTTTAATCATGATTAATAAATCATAACAATGACAGCGAATTATTCCAAAAATGTTAATTTATCATGCAATTAAATAAATATTTTTACAAAAACAAAAATATTGAGGAAAAGTTTGCAAGCACGAAAAACGGAAAATGAAAACTTTGGACGAAAAACAGAAAATCTTTTTCTTTATATTTTTATTTATTCACCTTCACTGTTATGCAGGCTTCGAGTAGCTTCTGACGGATTTTAATTATTTCGAGGAAATAGTCACAGTAATAAAATTATGGAAAATTGTTAAGAAATGTTTTGTTTTTCATTTTCATCAACGACGGTTTTTTATTGTTATTAAATAATTAAGCAGCATGGAAGAGAAGAATAAGCAGAAAGAAGAAAAACGACTGATGAATAAAATATTTTGTGATCTAACAAATAAATAAGTGCAATGTGTGTAAATATTTTTGTGTAATGTTTTATGTGAATCTGACAATTGACAATTCGAGAGATCATTTAAGAAAATAACTTTTAACGATTTAAATCAAGTTATGTGAAGATATTTAAGAAACTGTGCAATTTTAAATTAAACAGAGTGTTTGATTCAGAGTTTCATGAAGTTGATTCGGAGATTTTTAACATAAGAATAAAAAAGTTATTTAAATCATGCTTTAAGAAATGATAAGACACTGACAATCAAGGGGAGGGAATAATTTTGATTTATCATAAAGCAGTCCGATTGGGGATAATTTCACATAAGCCACGACATTCATGGTTTCATTATGATTATGTTTGTGCAATAGAGTTGTTAAACAATATTCAGTAATTAGCTTAATTTCATTGACATGATAGAGAATACTTACAAGAACGTCAATGATAGTTGCAAAGATTTTATTTTGTTCACCATCACCATATTTTTGAATATTTAAAGTAAAGTTTCATTGATTTAGGTATGTACAAAGAATTTTGCATTTAAATGCAACAATAAATAAAAAGAATGAGAGAAAAGGAAAAGAATTAATATTTATTTATTATTTCTTGCTGATCCGATAAATGTAAAGAAGCAAACAAGAAACCGTTTGTTGTCACAACTTACCTTATTACTACTAAATATATTGAAAATTCCTACACGCTTCTTAAGCTTATTTGCACCGATTGTTCCTTTCATCGTTGCATTATGATTCATGGCATGATTTATTTGTGAATTGTGTGTCGACTCTGAGTCAACTTTCGAGAGATCTTCGAAAGGAATGTCACCAGGTGGTTGAAACCCTGATTGGTATCTAAAATATTTAAAATATTAAAATATTTTTAAGTGAATTATTAAAAATATTTGAAAATGAACTTTTCACCTTTCTATCACTTTGACTGAATCTTCTTTCTCTTTTATCGATTCAGATGCTTTCACAATTCCTTCGAGACATCGTGCAATAATTGGAGCAACTTGCGACTCAACATCAGCGGCTGCTCTTATGAATTCTTTTATGCCCTGTGTACGTTTTTCGTCAAGCTCTTGAAGTTTGTTGAATACTGCCGGTAGTGACGATTCGAAATGTGAGAGCTGAAGTTTGTTGGTCTTTTGAAGTTGATTAGCGTATTCATTTTTGGCATCGTCAGATTGAGCACATTTTAATGTCATGTTGTGTCTTTGCTTCTCAACTTCAGCCCGACTAAGATTAAAATCAGCATCGGCTCTCTGGTAGTTTTCAACAGCTTTCTCCGCTTCACGATACGCTTTTTCGTAATTTTTCTTTGCTCTGTCAAGTGAAGCAATTTGAGTTGTAAGATTTGATTGTAGATCAGATCCTTCTTGTAAGGATTTTTTTCGTTCATCTCGAAGTGTTTTCGACAGTAAATTAATACCCGAAATGACTTGTGATTGAAGGTTCTCGGCAACAACTTCTCTTTGACCTGCAAGGTCACTTGTCTCTTTAAGGACATTTTTGAATGCTTGATGTGATGTGAATCTAAAAGTAAAATAATAAAAATTAAATTAATAAAAAATGTAAAAAATCATCAAAAAGTTCTTCGATCCAACCAGGATTCGAACCTGGAATCTTCTGATCCGTAGTCAGACGCGTTATCCGTTGCGCCATTGGACCTTGAACAGCCTCCTCGGCACTACCGAGAACTTTACCGGCTTATAAACCGCTTGACAAAATACATTCTAGAAACTTTTACACAAACATGTGTTTTAAATTATTTTGAAAAAGATCTTTAATTATTTTGGAAAATGTCTTTCAAGTGATGAAATCACTTAGAATAACGTTTTTGTTAATGTGAAGCTTCCTCAAAAATGAGAAATATTAAACATTCTTTCATTTACTATCTATTGTCTTTAATCAATAGTGCCTCGCTAAAGTCACAGCTTGAGCTTAGAAATTGAATTATATCTTTCTTTATAATTTAAATTGAATTCTCAAAAGAGGAATTAAATAGAATAACAGGAAAAATATTTAGAGTATTTAATAAAGAAAAACAATTTTTTCTTTTCGTTTCATTTTTCAGTCGTTCAAACTCAAAACAATTGTACAGTTTTGAATTTGAAGTACTGCAAAGTAATAAGGAAAATAAAACATCAACTTACTCATTATCTTCTTCATCTCCTTTCTTCCCTTTGGGTTGATAGTTTTTTGCAAGACGTCTGGAATGAATAAAAAAAATAAATTAAATTGAAAAAAATATGCGACGAGGATGGGATTCGAACCCACGCGTGCAAAGCACACTGGATTAGCAGTCCAGCCCCTTAACCTCTCGGGCACCTCGTCTAAGCAACTCAATGTCGGCACCGTGGCAATAAACAAATATAAATTTAATGATGAACAGCCAAAAGTATTTCAATTCAAATGACGCTTTCTGATAAGATTATTTCCGCTTTAAAATATAATTTTGTACAAAAAATAACTGACTTATTTATTATCTACCAACGAATAATGAAAAAATTTGTTGCGCAAAAATAGAGACAAAAATAAATCACTTTTAAGGAGATTAAATTTCAGTATCAAATTATGATTCATGCCCACAAAGAGATTTCTTTTTCTTATCATTCAATACAAAGACAGATTCGCAAACTTATAAAGTTTCTTATTCATTGAGTAAAACTTCGACTTTTAAATAAAATTGTCTAATAACGATTTGAATAGTTGATGGAAATTCAATCAGGTGCATTTTCAAACTTCAAAGTAAACAATAATAAGCGATTGCGGCAAAGCACAATTCCAGCAACGTCATCGTTTATAACTAATTATGCTCGGCAATATCACTCATAAACAATTACATTTTCTTGTTTCACTTTCAAACTGACCTAGATCTGATTTGCAGAGTTTTCATTTTTTAAGAAAAAATGAAGTTTCATTGTTATTTCATATTTTCATAAAATGCGGTTTTCGTGAGATTTAAATTAAGATTCAATGTTTTTGTTTTAAGCAAATGAAAAGGGAGAGAAAGTCTCAGAACATTTGGAAAGAGATTTCGTCCCCTTACGGCTTCAGTTTTAATTTACCAGTCGAATGAGTTATCTTTGCATACGGAATTGTTTTACAGATTTCCTTTTGATTAATCGCGGGTTTATTTATAAAATGAATTTCCAAAATGTTGCAAAAATAAGATTTCGTGTGTTCGATAAGTTGTGAAAAATTTGAATGAAAACGAGAAGATTTTTATCGTGTTTTGTGGATGAGTTGAAGCTAGTATTTCAATTGAAATCTAATGCTTATTCATCATGAAAAAAGCGAAAGGCAATTCCTTTAAAATGACAAATCCACAGAGAAAGTTCCCCAAATGAACAGCAAAACCGTCGCAAAATTTTTTAATTGGACAATGAACAGAAAAAAGTTTTTTTAGTTCGCGTACAATTTCAGTTCATTCATAATTCGACATACACCCACACACGGTTACGAATTAATTTACTTATGTGAGAATCTCTTACAATTCGTATCAATTGTTAGTAGAAAAATAAAAGAAAGAGTTCAAATGGATAAAAATGAACATTTAATGAAAAAAATATTCAAACTCTTCCTCTTTAGTTCATGTCGAGATGTATTTTTAAATTATTGTCGGAAACGACGAACAAATTACCAACTTCTCGTAACGTGAATTTTAAGTGCGTAAGACTCTTGAACTCCTACGATAACAAAAAATTATTTATAAGACAATTCAAAGCTCCGTTTTGCTTCAACATTAATTTTCAACTAACATTTTATAAACTATTTTTGAAGGTTTTTATGATCGTGTTGCAAAGTGGAATGAAATTCCACGGAAGAAACAAATGAATGACGTTGAATCATTCATAAGCGCGTGATTTTGATCGTGAAAAAACAAAATGTTAACTGCAGCAATTGACTTGAAAAACGGCCTACAGAACTACATCAATCGATTAGCATATTTTACAACCGAAGAGACTGATCAAAGTTTTTTCGGACATAGGAATAGAAATTGTAACAATCTCATGAATTTTACGATTTTGGGCGCAGCAACAATCTCCGGAGATAAATTGGATGGAAATCTGAGCTACATTTTGTGGGTTAATCGATACTGAAGATTTTTCTCTTTATTTTCCATCAAATATGCTTGATCGGCTTTGGCACTTACCTTAGCTTTGAAGCATATTCGATCTCAATGGCACAGCGATCTTTAACGAAGTTTCCGTATTTGTCTAAAAAGTCGATTCCTTTAAGGGTGTGAGCTGAAACATTTGGGAATTGATCCTGGAAGAAAACAAAGCAGAAAAGAGAAAATAAATATTTAAAATTTATAAATTGTTTAAAGAAACAAAATCCATTAGTTAAAGAAGAAATATTCTGCGACTCGCATTCAGACATGCTAATTTCCATCGTATTAGCAGCTGCTATGGTTTAACCGTCTTTAAATACATTGACATGACCAACAAAAGACGAAGAACACTTTATGGGTTATTGTCGCGTGTAAGCAACAATGGCGAGTTGATGTTGTGCTATTGAATTCTGCAAAATTTATGTCATTTGAATTGAAACGCCGACGACAAGACGCGTCAGATTCGCCATGAAGAAATATAAACCGGTTGTTAACTCTCCCTTCATCCAAATTTATTTAGGCTTCTCTCGATAGAAACCAAAGTGTGATCTCAATGAAAAGAAGGCAATTAAATGTGATTAACAGCACATAATAAAGGCGTAAGCCAAAGATGTTATTCAGATTGTTTTCAATTATCGTTTTTCGAAATCTGCAATCGATTTTAAAACACATGAGTGGTAGATGATAATGTGAAGAGAAAATATCTGAGTTGAAAGCGATTAATTTCACTTAACTCATGTCAGCTGATGACATTGAAATGAGAAGAAAAATTCGTTTGTGATTAATGGGAAACTTATGCTTGAAATTGTGCGAATTTGATATAAAAAAAGAAAATGTTTAAAATTCTCTTAATAAGCACGCACGTGAATATACAAACATTCACTCATTAATATTCTTAAAAAACGAAGAAACAAAAATGTTTACTTGAAAATGTTTAATACTGCTGCAAAGAACCAGAGTTTTGGTGATGTCATCTCTTGGCACAAAGCGAGAAGTATTATTTTCATTAAACTGTTCTCAAAATATATCAAGAGTTGAGAAGAAACGGAAACATCGAAGAATGGATATGAAAGTCTGACAACATTGCCAAGTTCATAATGAAACGCCTGATCGTCTTTTGATTTCTCAACCCATTCGCAATCAAGCAAAAAAAAAATCATAAAAGTCAATTTTTGAAAGCTATCAATACGTAAGTGCTGGTTTTGGACCGGATCAAGGTTATTCAAATGATTCAAAAAGTATCTCTGCTAAGCTGATTGATTCGTTTATTTACGCAATAGAATCCCAAACTAAATTGAGACTTGAGAAAATTTCATCTGAAGCTTTTCTTAATAAAAGAAGAGAAATATCTAAAAAAGAATTTATCGAGTTAATCAATTTAGGAATCTATTGTGAGTTGTGCAATGTCTTAACACTAAACAATAGCCATAAATTATTCTCAAATCAAAAAAGAAAATTTTATGTTATGATATCTCAATTTATTCGTTATTCGCGTTCATTTAAAGAAGATTCTCTCTATACTGACATGAGTGGCGCCGGAGGTCTCACATTTCAATAATTTACATCATTTTTCAGTCGTACCCTCGAAGGTTTATGTTTTGATCGCAAAAAAATCCAATCAAAATCGTTATTTAAGTCGAATTAATGTTTTTATTTCCCGTTCACTTACTCATCTGAAACTACTTCAAGTGTTTTGCGTTTAGTCATCGTAAAGAAAATATCAATTTGAAGCGTCGTTCATTAAACTGTGAACTTTAATTTATTTTTCATTTTCTCAGTTAATTGTCTCGCTCAGGAAGAAACATGAAATATCTACTACAGATGTTGTGAATTTCGTAAAATAACAAATAAATCCATATTGTAAAGCTATGACATAAATAAAGTGCATTAACGCCCAGATGAAGTGATGTCATGGTGTTGACCACATTCAAAGTTAATCCCAGATTGCTACCTCGACAATTTCTTAGCTAAATTGGATTTATTTAATTACGCAACATTATCTCGTTAATGTCTGAAGAAGGTCGTTGTTTTGCCGTCCCTGTCATCAAACCAGCATCGCGCTTGACAATTATTTCCATTCTAAGCACACACAAAAAACGAGCGTTGTTCGTAGCCATGACTTTATTTTCTGGCTTCGTTTCGTGTGAATGTTCGTTAGTTAGACACAGAAACATGAAGCAGCAACTTTTTTTTAATGTGAAAAATCGGCATTAAAGTTTGTTGCCTAGTGAAAAGTTTCTTCAATGAAGTGACTTCAGACATTTCTCCCTCTGCTGCTGTTGCTTCTTTTACCCCAAATGATTGTAATACGAAAATAAGCGCGATCGTTTCGCAAGTAGAGTCTATTTAATTTAATTAACAAAACTTCACGATTTAAATTTCTCGCGTTGCCCGTTTACTTTATTGCAGTCACAATGATTTTGATAATTGCACACAGCAGCAACTAAACTACAACAAATATGTAATTTCATGAATCCAATTTTATGCGCCAACATGTGCAGCATAACTTTGTGTATGCGCATATGAATAATTTATGAGCTAATTCTGTTTGGCAGCACAACTTGCATAACTTCTTACTTCTTGTTACCTACATTTGATAGTTTTTTTGTTTTCTTTATGCATTTGAAATTATATTTTCACCTTCTTTTGTGGCATTTGCATAAATGATTTTCACCCGCGCTGTTTTGCTCTCATAAAAAAAACTCCACGAAAATTTTCCTATTTCAAAGATAATTTCAATGCTTTGTTTCTCTGATTTATTTTGAGGTTTCATATCTACAGCCACTGTAATTTAAATTGCAATTTACAGGTGAAATCTCCCCCGTGATTTCATTTTATTTTTTTGTGATCTTGAAAACCTCAATCTGATTGCAATTGTGTTGAGTCGATTATGGAGTGGAGTTCTATAAAATTAGACCTGAACGAATTTGCATAGTCAAGACCTTGAAAAGCAACGAATTAATTTATTATTTTTATTTTATTTTCCCGCTTCTTTTTCGGATTCTTCTTTAGCAAATTTCAGACTGGTAGAATTTCAAATCACGTCGCTAATTTAAATAAATGATTTTAACTGATTTTGTTTTCAACATCATGCGGATAGAAGACGGTTGAATAATTTTCACGGCTTTAAGATCGCCGTTGATGATCTACATAAGCAAAAATATTTAGTTTATTAGTTTCTCGCCTTCATTCTTAACTAATAACCGTAATTATAATTTATTTTAAAGTACTTGCTTGAGTGTTAACTCTTAAATCTAAAATCTCGCCACATTATTTGTGTTTGATTCATTTAAACTTTTTTTTTCTAAGTAAACGAATATTCGCACGTGATCAGCAAGAAACTTGAACCATCTTTTCAAACACAAAAGAAAAAAAATTGTTGAATACTTGATTTGACGGAACGATTATGGCATTTTGAATGCTTCAAGTGCACGAATATTTGCTCACGAGAGCTCACAGCTTTGTGAGTGATTTATGGAGATCTTTTGAAATGGCGAACAACGGAACAGTTTCCGTCTGGAATTGAATCGATTATCTAATTAAGTCGACAGATTTGCGTCGAAATAAAAAATAAATAAATGAATTCTCCTCTTATTTTCCAATAAATATTGCGTATTAAATTTGACATGGGAACTATTTCGTTAAATAATTTAATTTGCCTGCCGAATAACGCAATAAGAAAATTGTTTATTAATTGAATCATGTCTACTATGCACCAACACTTTCGCTTCAACTCGCTGCTTCCAGCTGGCAACCAGGAAGTAAATAAACAAAACAATCTGATTCACATTTTTAATTTGGTTTTCATCATAAAACGTTGAGTAGTACAGAGAGAAGCAAAGTAACATGAAAAAAAGAGAAATGAAGTCCATCGAAGGTAAGAAAGCAAAGCACTTTTTCTTATTCGGAGGAAAAGAAATTACAATTCAAATCACGGTGTAATTTCACTTATTCGGACAAAGTTAAGCTGCTGAGTCGAATTAGAATTTTAAATTTATGCAAAGAGCAGTCGTCAGCACTTCATGTTGGCATGTAATGATCACTAAGCAGCATAATTTGAATCGCATTGTTTCATTTCGTAATTTTGATGTCGATTTAAGTAATAGGCATAGCGGAATGTTTAATGCCTAAGTTGAGGATGTTGAAAAGGTTTCACTTTCGCACCGATCGAATCATTTATGAATGATTTGAGTTAAATTTGTTTAACGTCTGAGAAATGACTTCCAGAAAAAAATGAAAAATATTATCGATGATTGCAAAAAAAAGCGTAAAAGAAAAATCATAAAGCCTGAAAGACATAAACATGCATTAATCACATACATAACAATCATAAATCAATTGCCAAATGTATCATCAGGTTTCTAACTTATGAAGCAACTTCTCGTCATATAAATCATGAAAGGAAATATCGTGAGAGAGTAATGAGATTATCGGAAATTAATGATCGTTGACCAGATGAGTGAAACATTGTAAGAAAAAATTAAATTCGCTTTACTGCTATTTAAATTTAATGCGTCAACTAATGATTCATGAGAATTTTCTGCGAATAGCGCCTACCATCCTTTAATAGCTTGTGTTCCATTTGAAATTGAATACGCGATGTTTGAATAGTCATGAAACATGCCATTCCGGCTTCTATGTGTTTCTTTCCCATATTTTTTTTCTCTCTTAATTTCACAATGTGAATGAACTTTCATAACGCTTAGTTAAAAATATATTCAATTTATGTCGAACAAAGTTTTTTATACGTTCAATTAAAAAGCCGAAATATTTTTATATTTTTCGGAGAAATTTCTGCAAATATCAAGTTTAGGATATGTTGAAGCATTAATCTTAAGTTCATTTATTTCAGTGGTTTTTAAACCATATCATCGATTAGATCGACTTCTAAGAATTATTTGTTTTCATTGAACCGCAAGCCATGAAAGAACACATTGAGACCTTTGCAAGCGATTAAAGATCGCGAAAGCGGACAGGTTTGCGGCTAAGGGAAAAGAATTTCATGCAAATTTTACGTGTAAAACATCGGCACGAAGGTTAGGTTAGTTGATTGAGTTCTTGTTTGTTGATTTTGTGGAACATTTTTTCTCTTAAACTTCTTCTAGTTTTATACACGCACGTACGGTTAGTTTACAGTTTTTCTTTATTCTTTCATTTGTAAAGCATCATTCGGATTGTCAATGAAAAGTAAAGATGGAAAAATTCCCGTAAAATTTAATCAATTGTGATTCTTTTGTTGCATAATTCTGTACTTGTGTGGCTTTAACTTTTCTTGGTAAAGTTTGCTGAAAGAGAGAAACATTTCATCATATCATGTGACCTTTCATGGTTTTTTTGTGTCTGGACATCCATTATGCGTCATTTTATATTTGATGAAGCCACAGAATGACGGGATGACCAAGACAAGTATTCAAAATCAATCACAGTTGAGACAAATCATCAAAATATTATTTTGTCTTCGTCATGCTTGCAAAAAAGTTCTCCATTATTGATGGTGCTTCAGCATTGTAAGTGGCTTAATGTGTAACATGAAATCAAAACAGCTCATCAAACAATCAACAATTCCGTTATGTTGTGTTTGTAGAAATTCAAGAGAATTGCATCAGCATTTCTGTCGATTTCATTTCTCTCGATTAAGTAATAAGTTTGATCTCTGTACATTTTGTAGCTTAACAAGTTAGCCTCGAAAAGCATGAGACGAGAGAAATTTTCGTTTCTTTCAAAGAAATTGTTTTTCTATTAAATTATTATTTATGCGATTACATGACCGACATGAGATTCATTGTTGTGCTGTGAAAATTTTTGTTTCTTTTGAGCATCGAAAGAGTGAAACTCTCAAAACGATCCAACAAGTGTTGTTAATTCAAAGCGCTTCAAGTTACTTGGTGATTAGCGCTCAACAAATCATTTATCAACTCAAGTGCTTTCCTTGAACCAAGCAAGCTTAAGATGTCTTGCAGAACCCTTCATTGTGTATAGAAAGCTCTTAATACTCAATTTATTCATTTAATGTCTCAAGACAATTACAGCTTTTAAAAAGAAATTGATGATTCGTTTCATTTCACAATAAATATGACAGAGAAGAATCTACGATGCATTAAAAAATTACATTTAAGTATATCTATGAAGAGTCTTACAAGTTAACAGCAATATATCGCCTGGTCATCATTTAACGCTAAAGCATATCAGACGTCATTCGATACGCTCAAATTGTTCGCTGCATCCATCAAAATGAACTTCATTGCATAATTTTTATTTTTCGATCTTATCTTAAAAATTGTTCGAGAAAAGTGAAACAGAAGCTCAGTGATTTAATTTAAGTAACGACGATCAGCATTAAATCACCAAATTGCCATCATTAGCGTCTGCTTTTACTTTTCGTTCTGCTTATATTCGATACTTTAACCTCCAATGAATAGCATAACATCTTTCTCCAAACCTGCAGTTGAAATCAAATTAAGTCAACTGCAATCAACATTCATTAGCCGTTTGTAATTTTCCATCACATGGGCAAGTGAAAGTCCATTTCACAGCTTTGATTGCCTTGAATAATTTGTCAAGTCAAATTCAGGAATAAATTGTTTTATAAAGTCCGCACCGCACCCATCACGCTTTTGAGACTCACATTGCATTAAAAAGCCCAGAAAACTTTCCCAAAATCTACATTAATACTCGACTAAATGACTTCATAAAAGCGATAAAAAGCACAAATTCGAATTAAGAATTTATAGCGTCGCGGAAAAGCTGATTGGCAAGTTAACGTCGATAAACATTATAAGCTAAGCTTGTTGCACAACTTTAAATTCATTCGCTTTGCTTGCTCACATATTACGCTGAATTAATTCTCTTAAAATCTCATAGCGTAGCAGTCATAATAACAAGTATCAAAAAACATAAACTAAATCACTTCATGAATTAATAAAAGTGAAAGAAAAAACTCTCAATATGAACAAAAGTAACTTAGTTTGTTCCTTTAGAATGCAAGTGACACCGAATGCTGCACTAAGTGTTAAAGTATCTATTAAGAACGAGGAGAAGGTCACCGTTTTGACCTCGCTTTTGCTTGCAAGTGTTTGTTCGCATGCCGAATGTTAATCTGTTTCTTTATTCAGCCGCTTATTGGTCATGGTTCACCTGACATTAAAATCTTTTGTGTCGATACACAAAGGGAGTGAGAAAAACTTGTTTCCTAAAAAGAGTTTTAAGATTTCACCGGCTGATGGTTTAAAGAGAGATTTTCTGGTAAGCAGTAACTGTTATCGATTACAAACGAAGCCCTCAAGCAATTGAAGTTGCTTTCAGATTAGACGAACGGTTAAAACAACTTCAAATGAAGCGTCATCATCAACCTAGTGTGCTAATTTACAAAAAGAGTCTGTTTTATTGTATAATTGTGTAATAAATATAGATCTGTAAAGTTGTTTAAGGAAGGTGGAAGTGAAAACAACATTTCAACGATTCTCTTCATTAGGAATGAAGATTAAAAAACAAATTTGTCACAGAGAATTATTGTGCGTCATCCAATCACCATTAAATTTGTTACACTCTACTCTTAATGAGATTTGCTTTAGCCTGCATTTTAACAGCAACATATCTTGTTAGATAAATTTCACACAATACTTCATGTTAAACTCCCCTAACAGCAAACGTAATAATGATGCTGATCTGAACGATTTCTAACACAACAAACTTGAAAATTGACCAGCAGATGAAACTTCATTTAAGTGCCGTTTTATATTTACTATTTTCATATTCTAAACCGAGGGTCGGTTATTTATATGCAAGAAATTGCGTAATAAATGCAACGAATGGTATTTTTGCTTGGTAAAGGTCATGTTTCATGTTTTGCATTCTTGTTGTGTTCCTGAATATTAAATTTTTAAAATTTTAAGCGGCTCTTCTGTAAATTGTAATCAATCTTAAGCACGTATTAATGATTAATATTCAACATGATTCTATGTATTGTTCAAAGCATAATAATCCCGGAAAATATTTCTTTTCCTTTTGTGATCATATTTACCCCTTAAAAATGATTTGACGCTATCAAGTTTATGACATGAATCTTAAAAACAGTTCCAGGTTATTTTTCTGCAGACTTTTGCAAGTAATTACTTTTATCAAAAGTTAAATTTACTTTGTTCTACATAAATATCCACTACTGTGATAAGATGTTGGCATAAAGTGGAATGAATAAGGAAAATATGCCTGTGGGATAAGAGATTTCACCATCATGCGACGTAAATGCTTCCTGGACTTATAAAATCCATGTCAACAATACGATTTTTAATTTGCGCACCATTCTCATTCGCAAATATTCTTATCAAACGTTATCAAAGGAAAACAAAGAATTTGATGAATGATTTTTTGAAATAAAAGGTGAATCTTTCGTGAAAGGTTTTTATTAGAATTCTTGTTTTTAAAAGGTTAAGATGAAGGTTTTAATATTTCTTGTTGTAGTGTTTCTTGCTGAAAGCTATGAATTTACTCTTAACGAAGCTATTGCTGTAAGTAATAAAATGTTGCTCTATGTTTTCTTTAAAATAAATATAATTACAGAAAACAATAGAAACGAAACTCGAACCAGCCCCATTCGATCTACCAAATCCGGAAATTAATCGATCTGGAAGAATTTTTCAAGGATCTAGAGCTGCCACTGGTCAGTTTCCACATTTTGCTTTGATTTTCAGTAATCGCATTTCTTCTACTTCCATTTGCGGAGGTGGATTGATAGCAACAAAATGGGTTTTAACTGCCAAGCATTGCGTGAACGAGTAATTAGTTAATTCAATGTTGAGTGAGAAAAGTTTTTCATCGTTTTAATTCCAGTGCAATTTCAATTGAACTTCGTTTTGGATTAACAACTCAAAACAATTACGAACAGAAGATTTGGGGAATTAAAGTAGCTAGATATGAAGATGCTGACTTAGCACTTATTGAATTGCAATATGAAACCAAAATCACAAACTTAGTGAAGCCTGCACTTCTTCCAAGAAAATCTGAAAGTCATAACATGCTTGAAAATCGACTATCAACGATATGTGGCTTTGGCAGAGTTCGTTCAGATGTAGCTGGAGCTTCTAACGTTTTGAACTTTGCTGACATGGATATTTTACCTCATGAGAAATGTGTTGAATATTATGGCACATTCAGAACTGCATTCCTTTGTGCTAAAGGCCATAACTCGCTGTCTTCACCATGTCCAGGTAAAGATTTGCTTTCATTATGAAATGTTAAAGTGAAATCATTTGTTGATACTTTTGATAATCATTTCAGGCGATAGCGGTTCACCTCTTGTTATTAAAGAAAACAACGATTATGTTGTTGTTGGTGTTGTGTCATTTGGTGCCGGCGGTGGCTGTGATTTTGGTGAGTTGAGATATAATATTAACAAGAAATCATCATTATAGATCGCAAATATCTTTAGGTTTTCCAGTGGGCTTCGGTAGAGTATCATTACAACTCGATTGGATTGTTTATTATACTAAAATCACATTACGGGAATAGTGGAACAAAACTATCCAACTTGGATCTTTTCTTTGCTTTTGTATCTTAATCTTTTCAAATTAATTAAACCTTTAAAATAGCTACTTTGTTAGAACACAAATAAGAATCGCAACAGAACCATTAAAACTGTAAAATAATATAAATCGGTAGTTTTGATCAACAAACTTTGTGTTTAACCTTCATGGCTGTGTCGATGATTTTTATTGCGTTTATAATTTCCGTGAAACAAGCAGACATCATCAATAGCTAATTATGTGTGTGAGTGATTCGATTTTATTCTCAACTGCACTTTCGTTTATTAATTATTCATAATAAGCAAGTTGTGACGCAGAAAGCGCAACAGCAACATCTTCGGTTTTCGAAAAGATTTCTCTAATTTATAATCATGAACTTCAATCAATAGAAAGGCTTCGGGCTGTTGCTGTTTATTTCATGGAATTATTCATTTACAATCGACAAACGACACTCAATTCATTTCAACACCAATTCGTCGATGTTATCGTTCATATCTCGAAAATATTTCTCAAATAAAGATCGTCGAACGACTTCCGCTGGTGATTATTTTAATCTGCTGCAATTCGTTATCGCAAAAAAAGTTTCAAATCAAAACTTCTTTCTTCATCAATATTTACTCTTACAACAACTGGTTTTGTAGAAATGGCGACAAAAATATAAAACGATGAGATAACAAGCTGAAATTTATGAAAATACGAAAATTTTTACCAGCTTTATGTCATGAAAAATATTTGTTCGATTATATTCGTTCGTTTCACCTCATTTTGAATGATTTTTATGTTTACATTTGATCAACAAGAAATCATTGAACGATAACAGAAAGCTGCATATGAATTAAACTGTGCAAACCTCAAATTACCCTCGTTATTCATTTCAATAATCGACTGACTATTTTTAGCACAGTCTAAAAATAAAATAAAACACAGTTCAAGTGCTCGATCGTCTGACATGTTTAAGGTTCTTTTTCTCCGCTTTTTTCTTTTTAACAAGGAAGCGATGAGAGATGAAGCTGTGAAAGATGTGAACAAATGTCTCATCATGAATTTGCTGGTGGGCGAAGTGCACTCGGAAAATTAAAGTTGTTTACTTTCTAAATCCAAAGAGATTTAAAAAAGATTGTCTAAGTATAGAAAGGGCGACAACTTATTACATCTTTGGCAATCAATCTCATGAACCCTTCAGATGCACAGTGTAAACTGTATCAATGATCGTGAGGCATCTGAAATTCATTATTCAAATATTTACTTTTACTCTCCCTCCCCACAGGGGCTTTAGTTATGAAAACAAACACAAACACACACATACGTTGAGTTCCGCTGTTCGTCTTTCTCTGACTCAACTTTATTCAATTGTTTTCATAATAAATATGTAGACGAAATGAAATAAGTTTAAGAGATGAAAACGAGAATCCCGTAATTAAAACAATGAGATTTGTTTTCTCTGATCGTATGAACTGCATTGCACGTGTGCTTTGTGTTGAATCTTCGATCATCAGAGATGAAGTTTTAAAAGATGAAGAAACTGAAATGATGGAGATTGAATTGAGTTTCATTTGATGTTCTTTTTTTATTTTTCTTTCAATTATTTCCTGGAATAAATGTTAAACCATATGTTACTGTTGCAAGGAAAAAATATAACAACGAAACTCTACAATCTGTCATTTCTCATCTCCCTTTGTTCAGCCGTCTAATGGATTTTCTGTAATTATAGTTTTGTTTTCATATTGCGCGAAAAGCCGATAATGATTAAAAGGTTGGAAGGTGGGAGACGTGCCGAGACACCTTCGTCGAGTCCATAGATGGCAAACCATTTTAAATAACAATAGAACGACATAAACAAAATTCAATTTCTTTCTCTCTTTTGCAAAGAACGGCAATGAAGAAGCCAACACCGTTAGGATTTATGTTAAGCAACAACAAGCAGGCAAAAACTTTCGACTCACAGCTAAGTAAGCACGCAAAAGAAAGAAGCAAATAAAGAAATGTCTAACCGGTAAATGAAAAAAATTCGCCTTTAAAAAGTAAACAAGTCAGTGAATGTCTTCATACTCATTCTTAAGCGTAACGCATGGAAGTTTAATACTATGATATGCCACATAGTCATGAATTAACATCATAAAGACGCTAGTAAAGGAATTTACTTGCTGTTATCAAGATGAATGAGCTGAATGTATACCAAACCGATTTTTGTTACAATTCTTTAGATAACTGTTCTAAGTAACTTTAGTTTTTAATGTGGTCAAATTACTTGAGTAGTTTACATAGAAATCTCTAAAAAATAATTCCAACTTATGCTTTCACTCTTTATTCGAACAATAAAGCAACAGCAATTCTTTTTCTTTCCCATGCTATGCCTTACATTCTCTATTCATGAGAGGCGCTTCTGCTTTAAATCATTTGACACACAAAACTTCGTTAGCGTTTAATCATCATTTTTAAGAAGAAACTTGATTTGTTTTCATTGTGATTTGTGTTTAAAAATTGAAAAGGGAGATGGAGATGAAGGCATTTAAAATTACATCAGGTTCGTAGCACTTGACTGATTTGTTAGATACAATGTCACATAATATTTATGGTAGATAAAAGTAATGGAAAATTGTTTTTATGATAATCATCAGCAGAATTTAAATTACACTCCCATGTAGTAAAAGTGACAATAAAATTGTTGTTTACGATATTGTGGTTTAAGTTTTTATAATTTGGAAGCTTTTTCCTTCCTTGAATCAAAAATTGAGAGTTGAAGTCATCGATCTATTAATAAACAAGACAGCTAATCTCAAGGTCCCGACAATCACGGATTTCTTTCGATAAATAAATGCTTACATTATGTCATACATTCCATTGACTCCATTCATCAACGGCGAACAACGAATTTGTGTAACTAATAATTTAATTGAATCTCATTCAATTTAAAGACAATTTCATTGGATTGACGGAATTGATGCGATGAAACAAAAAAACGGGGGAAGCGAGCCAAGCATTTAAGATTAAAATTCTTTTATGACTTTCAGCGCGTGCACTTGCAGCTTACAACTTAATTAACTCGGCCATCAATTTTATTTTAAAAGAAGAATCTTTAAAGTCTTTGAACGGTAACTGAAGCAACGCATTTCAGAGACTGCAGTTACATTTTCTGAAGAATTTCACGAGAAGGGAAAGTAAGTAGAGTAAAAGTAACAACTTTATTAATTAAAATCTCGTTTGCATGCAAGCAACAGATTTTCTCTTTCGTAGAAAATTATTTTTATATGTTCGATTAATGTTAAAGGTTTCAATCAATCGGCTGAGATCAAAGTGAGGTAAAAATATGTTTTTTGTTTTAAGCCGAACCTTCAGTCACCCCTCCGAATGCTTCACATATTGTGGGGGATTAATAATCTATAAAAACTCATCTGTTCCTCTCCCTTTCTATAAATATCATCGTCCATTAGCCTCTATAATTAAATGGAAAATTCCATTTTCCGTTATGGTTAACAGTCATCTGATAATGTACAAACTGATATGCATATGAAGTTGTTAAATAATTCACAAGATTTGAGTAATGAAAATTTAATTATCACTCATTTAATTGTCTTTTATTTAATAAAGAGACATCGATCCATCAACTGACTTTTATTTGCTGAGTTGTAACCTTTCACAGACACAAAACCGACATCAAAAGATGCTGTGATGAAAAAGAAAAAAGACATAATTGACCTTGAAGTCAGACGCAATAACAACAATTATTGCTGTTTGTGTTGATAATTTAATTATTCAAATTATCGTCTCAATGTTGATTTTTCATTCTCATGGGAAGCATTTTTCTTAAAATTTAAATAAAGACGATTAGAGGAATTACTTATGTAAAAACTTCTTTCTCGTGTTTTTGTCCATTTAAGAAAACGCGGCACACTCCAATTTTTCTCCACTCACATTAAGAAATGAATCGAAAAGTTTTTGCATAATGAATTTCCATGAGTCAAGTTACAACAATCTACGACTCAACAACGTTGATCTTCAGACAATTCGCATTAAATATTTGACCGAATGATGTCAGAGACAAGAATTCCAAACATTTGAATCATGAGTCTTATTACGTCGCCCGGAGATTTATTTCGGCTCGTCTTAAACTGATGCTTTCGTGTGTTAACACAGCATGAAATTATGTCGTTGTTAACGAGGCTTTGTTGGTCATCATGAGAGTAAGATTCACGCCTTCAAATTTCGAAACTTATTTCTGTTTTCAACTTGCCGTCAATGTTGCAAAGTTTACAAACGATTTAATTTAATAAATAAAATTCGTGTTTCTTTTTTATACCAAACAAATTTTGTAGTTCCCATAGCAATTAAACTTCAATAACGAGCATCATTGCCTTCGGAAATTGGCTGACTTTGTTGCATAACTTTTCTATTGAAGTTGTAATTTTAATTAAGAAAACTTTCAGCGAGAAATTTGACCTTTGACAATTTAATGTTATTTTGCTACGAACCTGAAACGTCTGCTGGTGTTTAAGTTTTATAAAAAGTATCATCTCATCACCATATGGTACTACTCAAGTGCCTCGTCAATACAAGTAACGTGTAGCAAAATAACAGACAAAAAAAGAGTGAAATGAGTTGTTGCCATGCTTTCAGAAAATTTAAATTCAATTTCATTCACTTTTTGTGGCATAATGATTGATTGATATAGAGAAATGTGGTTTCTTCTTTACTTTTTCAAACTTTCAATGGAAAGTTCAACGAGGGACTTTAGTCTGACAAGTTAAAGTTGACACATTGAAAGGACGTTAACAGAATTCATGAAAAATCGTTGAATTTAAATCCTTTTCAGACATGTTGTTGTGTCTGTGATGTCACTCAGAATTTAAATTCAGTGAAATTTCAAGATGTAAAGATTCTATAAAAACATCGAAGTTAATATTCTCTGACAAGATTTTAACTCATTTCAACAAAAAATAGGGAACGTTGATTTACGAACATAAATAGCATTAAATTTTCCAACTAAATTTCATCTCATTTTTCCACGAAACTAAATATAATCGAATTTCGCAATCGATTCCCTTGGTAGCATTTCTAATGAAACATTAATGTCGTATTTTGGATTGGGGTAGTCTTTCCATGCTTCCTACTTAAATATTTATGTAGTCTACATTATGCAGACTGACCCCGAAATAAAATGAAACAAGAACAGTAATGTGAAGCCATCAAAGTGCAGTACAAAGTATAAGAACGAAAACAATGCCTTATCGATTACAATCGAAAGAAAAAAATGCCATACAAAACCATTAAGAAATCTGATCTAACAAGTTCTCATTAGACCATAACTTTCAATTGTTTCCTGTCTTCAGACCGCACCCTTAAAATTGAAGTCACTAGTCAATGAGTCCATAAAAATCAAAAGAAAATAAAATTCATGATTTATACTTTCGTCATGAGTTTATCAAACAAACATTGAAAACAAATACATAAATTTTTATGCTTTTTATTGCTATCAAATGTTAATGAAGGAATATAATTGAAGACAATTTCTTCAAGAACGAAGAAGGTTCAAGAGAATCGGAGTTCATCTTCAAGGTTGTCGTCGAATCATTGACTACTTTCAACCCCAAATACAGAACTTGTAGCATCGACATACAACAGAGAAATCGACAGAATGAAGTATTATTGCTTTCATAAATGTTATTTCGCCTCGACGCACGTTTCAATCTCGCATGTTAAATTAAAAACTCAATGAGGGTGGAAAGAAACGAAAGAAAGGTTGAATTTGGAGGTGGAACAGAATTAAGAGAGAGAATCGTGAGTCATCATGGCATTGAAATGAAATTATTTCTTCGGTCTGTTCGACAAGTCGCCTTAAAATATTCTTTTGAGGGTAATAAGGAAAGTTGGCAACATCGCAAGATTTATGCTCAGTGAGCCCTCGAGCTGTTTATTAAAGATTTTTATATTTTTTCTCTTAAATAATTATCTCGCGTTATCATGATTTTTATGGCTTTAACATTGCTGTATATTTAAAAACAAATAAAAAAAAGCGTTTTATATTTAAATTAATATGTTCTGAGGCGTGCAATTGAATCACATTTAGAGTTGATATGTACATCAAATGATTCCTGTTGCATTTATCCATTTGGAGACAAGCGCAAAGCAAGTTTTCATTCGCCATATGCTCCGGTATTTCTTCTTATTTATTTTTATATTTTTTCCTACTTCAATTGCGATTAATTCAGCTTCGAACTGGAAATAAAAAGAATGTCAATGTACTGTCTTTGCAGGTTATGCAATTTATATCATATTAATGCAATTTTCCTACTCATTCTCAATGCCTATTCCCGCTCAGTTATTAACCGTTCTCACGACGGCATTCCTTATTATGATAACAGGTTGCAATGTTTCTATGTTATGAAATCTTGTTCCATGATTTAACATGCCCATCGTTTTAGAACGAATAAAAAGAAAATAAAATTTCTGATCCCAATATTTATTGCATGAATGAATGAATAAACGCATTGTAAAAGAAGAAAAACCAAACTAACAAGATGGTGAGCTAATTACGTTAAGCCTAAGAACAAAATCGCCAACGATTGCAATAAACTTTTTCGAAGATAAATTTATGACTTGAGATGAGCATAAGATTTGTTTTGACGATCGGATCGTAAATCACTGACTTATCGCTTTTTTAAAAACAGAAGCTGCTGAGTAAAACCAGACATCATTGACATGCCTCTCGTTGAACCATGCACGAAAAATTCATCATACACGTAAATTAAAGCACCGGTAAATCGACCTCATTCAACGATGATTGTTACGCCATGCTAATTGAATTTTATGTATCGATCGGATTGCAAAAATAAAACTTTCTTCTTATAAATAATCAGTAAAGTATTTTATTTTTAAATGTCCATCAATATAAAAGACTTCACAACCAATTTGTTTCATTAACTGATCTCAAGCAAATGTAAACAGATTGCTGAGCTAAAATAATTTCATCACAGAAGAAAACAAGCGAAAAGAAATGAAAAGATAAATTTCAATAGAAAATCTTAAGAACCGTAAAATATTTGCATTCTATTATATCGATGAAGACTTGAATAAGATAGAGAAAAGTCCATCGTAACCCAATTTCATGAATTAATGGCTCTTGAAACGATTTAACTCTTTTTTTTAGCAAAAGTTCTTGCGTTCTGCATCTTTGGCTTGTAACAATCATCAATTCGAAGTTAAAAATTTACTAGCGTAACGTTTTTCTGTGAATTGTTTGTTTATTCACTTCCATGTGCGACTTGTATCTTTCCATACACTGCTTGTTCGTCCATCAAATGGCATCACTGTTTCATATAAATGTGCTGAAAATCTCAGCAATGAAATCAGACATTTTTTTCCTACTTAATTTCGAGGAAGATTGTTGAATGATGATGATGATGATCTTTCGTTTTTTATTGTTTATTTTATTTTAGTCTTCGAGGTGAAAACTTTAAATTGTGTCGAAGATGAAACAATTTTGTATATAATATTGAAAAGGAGAATTGAGAATCAGAATCGTGAGTCCGTGAAGAGTCAATGGCTTTCAGCTGTTTTCTTTACTTCTATCCGGGGCCTTTTTTGGATGAAATCCAAGAGTTGATTAATTTAGATTTTGAAGAAGAAAGAAGAAAATCAAGAAAGTTCACTTCGTAAGGCTCTGAAGGCTTAAAAATTCTTGAGCTTCAAATACATTCTCGGACTCAAACCAGTTCTTTTTATTTCTTTTTCCTATTTTATCGTTTAGAATATAAATATTTAACAGCGAGGAAGAAACTTAAATTTCAGACGTATAATAACTATAAGTGACCTAAGACTACACGCATCTCCATTATTTTTATAATTTTCTTATGATTTTTACTCGTGCATCGTTAAGATGAATTCTTAAGATAGAAAATCACACGAAATAAAAATAAATGAGTATGTAGATAAAATAAAATTTTCCCACTGTAGTCATGAGCATAATTTTTGTATTTAGCCTCAACTGCACCAGTTCTAAGACGTTAATATCTCGCATTTATTTTATTTACTTTTCCGTCAAGATCTTTTATGTTCTCTCATGAGAACATCAGAATATAACAAGCGATAAAAATGTCGATTGCAGTTTTGCAAGTGACTGAAAACATACTTTAACTTCAGTTTATAGTGACAGCTAGCAAATGATCTTTTGCAGACACTAGGAGTGGTTTCAAAAGTATGTTAGATAATGAGTTAAAATTTATGACACTCAGTCACATGATGTTGCTAAATTCAATCTTGTTGAATTCAATTTAAATCTGGAAAAATTCTGCATGGAAAGAATTCTTGAAAATCAACAAATATTTATCTTAAGAAACGTTTCTTCTTTATTTATTGAATAGGCAACATAAAAATATTTCCCTCGTTTCCAAACAAAGTGAAAACTATGTCGACATGATTATATTTGCTAGAAAAACTCTTTTTCTTCTATTTGCTGCTGACTTCATTTTTGCATGCGCACAACACCGACAAAGTGCATTCCAAAACGTTTTCTATTAAATATTTTAACTCATTTTTTCACGTTCATTGATGATTAAAGTGAAAACTTTTTTCTTTTTCTTTAAGGAAATTTTTTCTTCTTTCTTTTCGTTCATAAACCACTTTATGACATTCTCACATAAACATTGAGAAGTGAGAAAGACTTTGAACCCTTTTTGTGTTCTCGCAATTGTTTATACAGTTGTAACTCTCTTTTTTAAAACCATGCCCAGCGACCGTCCATAAAACCTTACATTTGCCGGAAACAGGAAGTATCAGTCCGAAAATGAAACAAATACATTAAAAGTTCCAGACATTTTTTAATTTTCCTTCTAAAAACTCCAGCAATGCACGACGACAGCTTTGAAATGTTTTGTTTTTTTTTTCTATGCAATTAAATTGTCTTTAGTGTAGCTAGTAGCAGGTAATTAAAGTTCTGCTTTTTATTTCTTAGTTTTCATACCGCAATTACCACAATTAATGCCAATGGAAACCGAATGTGATTGCTCAATACATTCCGTCATCTCAATAAATGTTTCATAATGCGTCAGATATCCGGTTGAATTGCAAAACATAAGACTTTGTTGTTGTCGCTTTGAATGCATTTAATTACAAGCATAAACAAACCGCATGCGCGACTCATTAACCATCACGATTGAAACATTTAAAACATTGTAGAACAAATCATAAATAGCAGTTCAAGTTTAAGTGACAACATCATTGAGCTACATTTTGAAGCTTTTTAAATTAACATTTAAAAACTGACAGCTTATTGTCGAGTCATCTTGTGAGTCGTTTGCTCACTTGCATGCCTGCTTACATGGCGGCGAAATCTTCGGAAAGAGTTACTTATAAATATGTATTTCGCTAGGAGGTCGAAGAACAATTCACTATAAAGGCAGTAACAACAGCAGTGGTATGATTTAAATCTTGAATAAACAATGCATCGTATACTGTCATTAATCAAATGTTTGAGTGGAAGCTATGAAGGCTGAAGGGCATTGAGATGAAAAAATGCGGATATTTGCTAACACATCAAACTGATTGTATGATGACTTTCATTGGAATTTCTCTACGCTACACATTGTTGCTCATTTCAAGCGTAAAACTCCATTAGTCATAAGTAAAATGAGTGTAAACAGCAGGTGATGATCCATTTTAAGTCGAACAACCTGAAAGAATCTTCCAAAAAAAAGCAACACATTTTTTTTCTTTTTAATCACTTCCGAAGCTTTCTCCCTCTCTCTTCTTCCAATATCTAACGGTGCCATTTGGCAGAGTGCTTAATGGGTTGCTAATAATAATTCAATCGTTTGTTGGGCGAATGAAGATGTACCTGACTCATAATGCCATGAATTATGATGAGCAGGTTTTTGAGAACTTATTCATTAATCGGAAGACCAACATCTTCTTCTTCTTCTTACATTCATGTTCTTCCACATATTTAGAACGTTACGTAATTATCATTGAATTGCACTTAACACAACTGTTTTTTGGGCAATTTATTAAACAATTGATGGTGTTTGTTTTACGCTGAAATTAAATTCCCTTACTCAGCAATATGATAATTCCATGGCACTTGTATGTTAATCGATGTGATCGATTGAATGAAGTTTACTGTTCCGTTAACAGAGCTGAATAATTGGAAGATTTCTATGCACTGTGGGCCCGTCCAAAATCAGTCACCCAGAAAAGTTTTTCAGAGTCAACCTTTCGAGAATGACGACACAATCATAAAACATGAAAGCGATGGGAATAATTTTTGCTTTCGGTCAGGAAACGGGAAATGATCATCAAGTCGATGTTGTATCGATGGAATCAACAACTTCTTTAAATTTTTAAACTTTGTTTTCATTTCTATTTTCATGTAATTAAAATGAATTTCTTTTTTTCTGTTATTATCTGCTTCAACATGAAAGTAGCAGAAGCAATGCGCATTTTTTATATTTTATTTTCTATGGTGCAATCGCCATTTTCAGTCTCATCTTTCACAAAGATCTAGAGCGAGAGATTTTCCCTTGAGTTCAATTTCATTGTTAATCTTACATTTCACTTTTCTTTTCCGCAGAAGCTTCTCGTTAAATCTCATCAAAACGGAAATATTTACAGATTGTGTTGCAATTCTGATTTGTTATCGAACAAAGTTTCATTTCCGATCTTTGTTGTATTCTTTTTTATGTTTCTGGTAATTAGTAACGAGTCACTTGATCGTTTGATGAAAACAATACAATTAAAATCTCATGACCTCGCCTTATCGTTGGCAGTGTCGTAATAGAATGTTATTAGCTGCTTATAATTATTAGCAATTTGTAACTTCTTGTTTTGATAAAAATAGCAAAGATGTAATTGTAGAATGAACGATAATCAAATGAAGGAAGTCACTGCTAAAATTCTTTATCGTTTGTCTGAATGCAAATGCAATTGTTATGAATTTCTATTGTATGATGATTCACTTTCTCTCTCTCAAATTTAGTGATTCAGTAAACTTTTCTTTAATGTCTAAATTATCAACTACATGGCTATGCAATTTTCAAAGACGACGCAGATGAACGGAGAAACAGAAATAATTGAGGGAACATTGCTGATTGAATGAAATTGTCGTAAATTACGTTCGCTTATTGTTTTCTACCGAAAATGCCTAGGAAGTCGTTTCAAGAGTTGAAAAACTCATCGGGAGCGATTATGATTCGTAATAACTCACGACGCGACTTCATGCGGTGACTTTAATTTCAATGATTCTGTTTAATTAAATTTTCCTTGGACGAAAACAACAAAAACTTTCTTAACTGTTACAAGAGCAGAAAAAGAAACAAAAACGTTAATGAAGTTGATGTAAGTTACTGGGAAAGTTATTTCAATTTCACGCCTTTTTCAATTTGTTTTTATGATTTTTCTTAATTTGCTTTAACATCAACAAATCAAGGGAATTGAAAGAAAACATTTTTCTTTTTTCTTTTTTTATCTCTCGTAGGAACAAAGTCAACTGTTTAGTTAAAGAAATAAAGTCATTCGAGTTCTTTCCGACAAATATTTTTTCTTTCTTTCCTCCACATGATCAACGCTAAGTGGAGAGGTGTAACGTTCTTTGTGAATTAATTACAGATTTTGAGTTTCCGCGAGTTTCTTTTGTTTATACCAACGCTTGCCTTTTGATTTCGCCCACACAAATGTCTGCTAGCATTTAAGAGATTCGTTTTTGAAAAAAACAAAAAATGAAACTCTTTAGAAAAGTATTTTTCCCATTCTCGATACATTTGAAGTCTTAAGTTAGTGCTTTAACTATGTTTAATAACAGAGGTTGCTTAATTAAGTCGTGACATTATCATTTCTATACAACATTCGGCGTCACCATCAGGGAATAAAAAAATGTCTCGCTCGCGACGAAAAAGCGAGAACAAATTCATTAATTTCATTTGTGGCCCATATTTTTTGTCTTTCGTCTTTAACGTTTTGTTTAGTTTTCTCAGATTTATGTTTTTTCGTTGTTGTTTTTATCATTGAACAAGTCTCAAGTCTCTCTTGGGGAAAGGCTAATAAAAGATCTTACGACAGTTTTTGCGCTGGTTTTTCACGAGAAACGAACGTCTTTTTTTGTGAACAAACTGGAGAAATCTTGCGGGCTTTCATGTTAACCAAGGCCTATGAACAAACAGCAAACAACAGTAAAGTAATTATTTATATTTATAAAATGTTAGTTTTTTGTTAGTTTTACAAAAACTACAAATTAAAGGATTTGAAAACTGTAATCGGTTGTGAGAGTTGAAGGAATATATCTCGCTCTGAATGCAACAATTTAGTAGCATTCGCTCTCAACGACATAATTAAATACATTTACATACATTTTAGCTACAAAGAATACAAAAGTCTTGTTTTTTTGACAGCATCTCAAGAGTTAACTGTCAACTGAACAGAACTTGAAAGCTTTAATTGTGAATGCTGTTAATGTTTCTTTTTCTGAAGGAATCGATGATAGCATTCTAAATAATGTTCTAGCATCATGGAATGCTTTTAGTATTGCGCTGCGTTGAGACATTTCTGAGACAGAGACAAGGGGAAAAAATTACCTGACCTTTACTTGACTACCTGCAAGCACACAGACATAAAATATAAATTCCTCTGGCCTTTGTGCAAAATTATGAAGCAACTTGTAAGATTGGTTAAATATTTAAAATAAAACGAAAAACCTGCATGTTCCAATTCTGTTCGAGCACTTTTCACGATCGTAATCCACGCGAAATGTCAAAAATGTTGAAAATTTATTCAGCGTACTTTTTCTTCTCTTTTGAATAAAATTGCGAGCTCTTAAAATATCTTGGCAAGCGATATTAAAAGTTCTTTCAAATATTGTTGTCATTAACGTAAGATTGAATTTATGCGTAGGCGAAGGAGATGTTTTTTTAAATCTTAGAGATATTTGGCTTCTTTTCTTAAGGCCACCGAACCGGTTGACGCGAGAAAGCATAAACAGAAATTGGCTTTTGTAAATCATTTATCAAACAAGTTTCATGAAGTTTTCGTTCATGTTTTTCTTCAATTTGTATCAAAGTTACATATTACTTTTGGCACCATTCAGAGGTTGTTGTTGTTATTGAAAGAATAATGAACTGAAAATGACACAAACTGGACAATTGGATTTATTTAATTGTTGTTTTCATTTCGATTCATGTCACTCGCTCAAAGGCTATAAACTTTGTAACATCGCGTGGGCGTCTCTTGTTACACAATCACATACATTGAAATTTTTTGTGACAAAAAAACTTTCCTCAGCTGCATTCTCAACAAAATTTTGTGCAGCGATAACGTGAATGACTTCCGAAAAAATGTAATAATAAAATTTTTTAAGCCGAGGAAGAGAGCGAGCATTGCACCATCGATCGCTACTCACTCGAGAGCTCCACTGACACATTTTTCACATTCTTTTGATAATGTTTTCTTTCAGCTCGTCTAACAAATAAAAGCCGAAACGATCGTTTTATGATGATTCAGTTTTGGAAAACGTTTTCCGAAAATAATAAATTTCATGTTTAACCTAAATAGCATTGTTCGAAACAGGTGAAGTTTCGATGCTATGATTGTGAACGCACAAAACTTAAATATGTTGAGAATTAACTTATCAGTGATTAATTCTACTGATATTGTTCCTATGTATGAAATCAGTTGATTAGATAAAGAATGTAATGCACTTCGTTCATTTTATTTACACACTAGAACAAGTCTCATCAATTTGTGCCTCTGACTTATCGACTTTTAATTGATAACGAAAGTGTTTCTGTTTGCCAATTTTCGTAAGAATTTCTTTATATGAAAATTTATTTCAGGAGAATGAAAAAGGCATTGAAAAAAATATAGAAAAAAACCCCACTGTCGATGACTCATCATAGAGAACATTTTTGCGCCTGATCATAATGTCTCAGGTTCGTGTATGAAAATTTATTTTATCGGCATGAATATCCCAAAATCTCTTCCGCGAAGGCTCTTTTAAAAGATGAAGCTTTAATGCACCGAAATCACAATTTTTTCTTTCGTGTCTTGTTCACTAACTGTTATTACATTTCGCCATACAGTCAAAGCAAAAAAAAAATCTTGTTTTGCAACCTTTTTTTCTTTTCTACTGGCCAAATGCGAGACTTTTTTATTTGAGATTCCTTTATTCTTGTTTTATATCTTCAATTTTGAAATTGCAATTTCTAACTTCATGTTTTCCATTCGAAAATTTTCACATTTTTCACATTGCATTGTTTAATTTTTTAATGCGCACATTTTCCAGTAATTTTCTCTTATAAAGTAATCTCCAGCTATGTATGTTCACTGTTGTTGTGTGTGCAGTGGTGACGAATGGGCGAGTCTTTCAATTTGCAGCTTATTGCGAGTCACAGTAATCGAAGAAGGTTCATCAGACACTAAATAAGATTAAAAACACTCACCCAAAGTTCGATTCCCCATGAATTAGAGCCCATATTCATAGATTTTTGTTCTGGATTCTTTTTATAATTGAATTTTGATGTGGATGGACGAGCGAGAAGTAATCCAATGTATTTTGCTTTTTTCACTTGATTTTTATTATTTTCTTCTTTCCAAATATTTTTCTATAATAGTAAACACCTTTCTACGCTATTTGCGCTATTTCTGATTTCGTTTTTCACCACTTTTTCACGATTTTTCCGTAAAATATCTACGAACAAAACACACGAACGTCCTTCTTCGTATTCGATATAAAATCATTTGAGTTTTTTATTTCTGTATAACAGTGGCGTTTGGGAGGGAAACTGTTATAATTCTTCACACACATTGAGAACACTTCAATTCCTCGGAGTTGGATTATTCTAACACTGAAGTGTCGATATTCCATTTGTTTATCAACGTGACAAGAAATAAATTCTATAGAAAAATTAATGACAGAAGAAAGCAAGGCTCAAGAAATAAATAAACGTCCTCAATTTGGGAATCGATTTCTTCCTAAAAATGATGACAACGAAGATGTTGTTTATTCGCAGAACGCTTGGTAATTTTATAAAAATAAGCAATAGAAATTGTTACGAACATACAAGATTTCGAAAGAAACCGCAAAATGCTGATAGAATTCTAAAAACAGAATCTCGTGTTTTTGATTTCAATGCATGGTAAATTACCTATTTTGTTCTTCTGAACTGATCTATTCAAATCATTTTAAAGGGACAACGTTGAGTGGACGGATGAACAGAAAGAACTCGCCGAAGTTGCCATCATGAACAACTCAAACGTGAAATTTTCAGACGAAGAAATTAAGAAAATTGAAGAGGAGCAATCAAAGAATTGGGATTCATTCTATGGTATCCATCAAAATAGATTTTTTAAAGATCGTCATTGGCTTTTCACTGAATTTCCTGAACTGGCACCAAATACTCCAGCACCTGAAAGAGTTTATCCAGAAAGTGAAGAGATTGCTAGAAACGAAAATAATATAGAACCAATTGTAGAAGAAAGTAAAAGGAGAACAATATTTGAGATTGGATCAGGTGTCGGAAATAGTAAGAAAAATTAATTATTTTTATGTTTCTATGTATTTAATCAAATTCTTTCAGCTGTTTTTCCGATACTTAAATACAACGACCCTAATGAAAATCTCATGATTTACGCATCTGATTTCTCGTCACAAGCAATTGAAATTCTTAAAGTAAGTCCAGAATACGATGAAAAAAGATGCAATGCCTTTGTTCTTGATGCAACTGCTGATGAATGGCAAGTGCCGTTTGCTGAAAATTCGATTGACATCATTGTGTTGATTTTCGTACTGTCAGCAATAAACCCAGAAAAATTCCCGAAAATTGTCAATAACTTATTCAAGTATTTAAAACCTGGTGGTTTAGTAGTGTTTAGAGATTATGGACGTTATGATCTCGCACAACTTCGATTCAAAAACGGAAAATGCCTTCAAGAAAACTTTTACCTTCGAGGAGACGGCACACGTTGCTACTTTTTTACACAAGAAGAACTTCGTGAATTATTTCAATCAAATGGCTTCGTTGAAGAATACAATGGAGTTGATCGAAGACTTCAAATTAATCGAGGGAGAATGTTGAAAATGTATCGAATTTGGATTCAATGTAAATATCGAAAACCTCTTGAAGATTGCAATAATAAAAACAATTGAAAATATATTTCTTCATTATTTTACATTCAATAATTTTTTAAAACATTAATACTAACGTAATGATTCTAGCATATTGCATAGTTAAATGTTTTAAACATCCACACAGATATAAGCAACACGCTTCTCATCTTTCATAGTTGCAAACAAAATAATCAAAAACTTCAGTCAGTTAAAGTTGCCGGCTTCATAAACACATAATTTTCAATTGTTTCCTCGTTATCTTATCAAACATTATGGCGGTTGAATTACCTAAATTCGTGACAAGTTCATTCTTGCAAGAAATTCTGTCAAGAAATTACGATAAAAATTTAAATGTTAGAAGCTTTTGGGGAGATTGGGCGACTAAGAAAGGCGATAATTATGCCAGCGACATGTATCGAATCAATGTTTATTATGAAATAAATGGAGTCAACATGAAAAAACCTGTTTTGTTGAAGGTGAGTGGATGAGATGAGAATATATAATCAGTGATTAAAAATGCAGAAATTTTTTAGCTTATGCCAGATGAAGGAATTCAATCAATTGTAATGGAAAAAAATAATCTCTACCCTCGTGAAATTCAAGTTTATTCTGAGCTTTTGATTGAATGTGAGAATTTATTACTCGCATGTAATGATCCAATTCAGTTTGCACCAAAATGTTTGTACACGTCGTTTGAACCGAAAAGCCTGTTAATGTTTGAAGATATGAGAGATAAAGGCTACAAAGGATTTCCGAGAAACTCCCAAATAAACTTTAATCAAGCTTTGCCAATTCTTATAAAGTTAGCGAAGCTTCATGCAACAACTGCAGTTGTGTATGAGAAGAAACCGGAAATTATGAAACTTTATTTGGAGGGCTCGATTTCTACAAATCCTGAACGACAAGATTTTCTCATTCATTATCGAAATTGCGCTTCGACTCTTGCTTTGGTGATTGAGAATGAATGGGCACCCGAATGGAGGAATACTGCACATAAATTAAAGCAACTCGCTGATGTCATCGTTCAAAAAGGTTGCGATCTTTATCTACGTGATGAAAATGCTTTCAATGTCTTCAATCACAACGACTTATGGATCCCAAACTTATTGTTCAAATTTGACGATAATAATTTAATTCAAGATGTTCTTTTTGTTGATTTTCAATTGAGTTACTTTGGCAGTCCCGGAATTGACTTGAATTTCTTTTTCTATGGATCACTGAATGAAGACACAAGAAAATCTTTCAGACATAAACTGATTAGAATTTATCACGAAACTTTGGCTGAGACGTTAAAGAAACTCAACTACATGAAGCCAATCCCATCTCTCCACGATATTCAAATTGAAATGTTGAAGACGGGAATGAACGGAGTGCTTGCAGCTTTGGCTGAAGTTCCTTTGTTATTAATGGAAGATTCTGAAAACTTGGACTTGAAAACGTTGCTAGCTGACACACCAGAAGCCAAAACTTTCCGCTACAATCTCTTCAATAATCCAAAATACAGAAAATTCATTCAAACTCTTCTACTAGAATTCGATGACTTGGGATATTTGGAATGTTAAAAGTTTGTTTTATTTTTCAATAAAAAGAATATTTTGTAAATTTTTAAGATTTTATTGATATGCACTAACTAGCTACATGAAATGTTTTTTACAATATTTTTCTCTTCTTTTATTCAATCTACTGCTTTCAAACTTTTTTATTTTCTCAGACACTTTTCTACTTGTCTTACTGTTAACCCTCTCATTCCGAACTCATGTGACCAACTTTCTCGTCACGACTTCACTTTCATCATCAATAACATTCTTCATGATTCGAGAGCAAGTTGATAAGATTCCTAATAGTTTTTTTACATTTTTATTAGTTAATTTTTCTTTCTTATAGTTAATAAAATTTCTCTTTAATTTCTTTGCAGTGAAAATTGCTTTTCTTGACATTTGTGTATAAAAAAAATATTAAAGTTACTTAAACATTTCAGATCTTTCTATAACTAAACATCAATTAGTATCGAGATTAGAAGGTAAAGATTCATTTCGTTCAGTTGATCTGAGTGTAAGTTGTGAAATTGAGTAAAAGAAATCATAAAACTAAATGAATTGATCAATGTGCATTAATGAGATTCAGTTAAGGCACCCATAAAAATTTGTCTACAAGATTAAGAAACTTTTATGTTTATTTATTTTTTTAAATCGTTTTCAACTCTTATCAGAACTTGTACAGACATTTAGCAAGCATCATTTGAAGTTCAAACTTTATTTTCTTTGTACAAAAATATTTTCTTTCTTATTGAAATTCACTACGGCGCTCTTATCAATAAATCTTTGATATAAAAATTTCTTTAATTATTCGCGTAATTTTGTTTTTCTCTCAACTTCATTTTCATCTTTTTATCTTCAAATAATTATCATTTTGACGTAATTTACAATCTAATTAAAACAAAAACCTTTTTTAATGCCTTTGCTAATGAATTATGGTTCTTAAAATAAAAAATTAAAATCAAATAAAAGAAAAATAAAATTAGACCAGAATTAAAATGGACGGCAAAAATAAGTCAATTAAGTGAAAAACTCATGGTGCGGGGGTGTTAAATAAAATGTTTTTAAGTGTTCAGACTTCAAGAGAGTTTGATGAAATTCAAGATTATTTATAATATTGTGTCATGATTTATGGACACCCCCAATGATTGGTCTGATTAACACAAGAGCTTCACCCAGAGATTCTACTTAAACTAATTTTTTTTTCTTCTTGATCGTCTGCAGCGACAATTTGTTGTTTAATTTCCAGGCCATGAATTCCATTGTGGAAGCAAATTATGATTCGATATCCTGAAGTGTCTGAAAATGACGGCGCTAACTGTTGTAAGAAGTAGTACGAATGAGATTGAAGATTTGAATGCTGCGTTATAGATTGAGCAGTAAGGACATTGCGAACTGCCGCACACTTCACAAATGTTAAGCAAATATGTTGGCAATGAATCGAATATCGTCTCGTTGAACCGTTCTAAAATAATTCAGTTTAAATTATTCAACTCAATTTTAAAGACAGATGTGAAAACAAACCTGGAGCGTAATAATCGTAAACTCTTATAGGCAGATATCGAGACATGTTTGCAACTGGAAGCCATCGTTCAACGGTGAAGTTTACACAAGTGGTTTCATTATCCAACTGAAAAATAATTTAAGCATTAATTAAAGAAGAAAAGTAGAGTTGACAAAAAAAAAGAAACTTACAAAGTCAAAATAGAACAAAACTTTCGTATCAGCAAACTTCGCTCGTTGTAGATTTCGAACTCGTTTACTTAAAATGTAAGAATCAAGTTTCTGTTGTTGAATGATGTAACCAGTTGGTATTGCAACATCTAAAACAGCCATTCCAGATCGTATTGATTCATTCATATTTGCCCAACTATAATTACAATGAATGAGTACAGAAAATTTAATTATCGAGATTAGAGAATGAAAAGCTATGAAAATTTACCTTGCACAACTGAGATAATTGATATGCGACTGATTTCTGCCATGGAAGATTGCTTTGGTGTGCAAATCGAAAGCTTTCGTAGGTGGTTTTGTCTGATATTTCTCCATGTCAACATTATATTGCACTGACATTTGAAGGATCGCAAAACCAGCACCTCTTGCTTGTACCTTCACTGTTCCCCATGCATTTGGAATCTTAAATTAAGAAAAACAATTAATTTAAATTTCTCTCTTTCATTTTTCGAAATTTACCTCAAGATTTTGTAATTGCGCAATATTTCTATCATGAATCTCAAGTGATTTCGTCTTTCCTTGCAATGATGTAGCTTCAAGCGTGATTGACAATTGTGAGACGTCACGAATTCTTGTTCGGATTGTGTATTCGATTAAAGCTTTCATTGCCATTCCTGTGTCTTGTGTCGAAGCCCATCCACCATCAGTCAAACGTTGTGCATTCAACCAACTAACAATTGAATCGACGAGAATTTCCTGACGTGATACGTAAGTCAACAAAGCATAAGCCGTCGTTTCAATATTCAACGCATCGAATTCGTATGGTAATCGTGGCAGTGAGAAATATTTTTGATTCTCAAGTTTCGTGGGTGGCAAAGGCAGTTGATCATTTCCCCAATAAGAATATTCTCCAGTATTCCTCCGAATATTCGCCAAAAGATTAAAAGCAGCTTCAGCTTTCGGTGCCTTTGCTAACATCATCGCATAAGCAACAATCGCAATCTCATAAGCCGTGCCACGCTCCTTCAAATAAACCAACTTCTGATCCAAATACTGCACAGCTCGTTGTTGAGCGAGCGATATTCTCGAACTTAAACCATCAGCAAGATCTTTAACAGTTGTTAATGTGATGAGAACATGCGCAGTCAATGAAATGTTGTGTTGATTATTGTTCATAAATTTGCGTTCGTTATAATTCGATGAATCGTTGACTTTTCTATCTGGCGACCAAGTCACTTCATAAAACGATCCTTCAGGCAGCTGATGTCTTAAAAGCCAAGCCATGTTCTTTTGCAAAACCACGGGATCAATGTAAATGAAGTTTTCCCATTCATAAAAGTTTGCATCTTGGAAGATTCTCGCACAATATGCTGTCAACCAAACTGAACTTGCAGATTGATTCCAATCGGATCGGAAAAGTGAGAAAGAACCGTCAGGCATAAGATAACTCATTTGTCTTTGATATCCAATGTTAATATGTTTGAAAGCTTCTCTCTCTGTCGTTCGATTTCTTTGATTAATCAACCTCATGTACATGATCGTGTATAAGTTTGCAGCAAAACTGAACATGTTTTGTTCAGCTGATTCCATTGGAAGATGAAGTAAAGATGAAGCATTGACAGGCATGTTTGGAAAGATTGGACCGACAACATCACCAACCAGTGAGATTCTCGCTCTGTTACTTCCATAAACGTAATATCTTTCAACTTGATACGGAATTATTGGCGTTTCAGTGACGTTAACATGCATGTATTGGAAAGCATAAGCGCGATTACTCAAATCAAGAAGAATGGATTGATGACGATATTGCGGTAAACCATCAGCTTTAACATTAAGCATTCTTTCAATTCGATCACTTCCAAGCAATGTTGAAGCATGAACTTTCACTTTAATGTCGCCAAGACGCGTTGGAACGATTGGAATGTAAACAATTGTCGATGATTGTGGTTCGAGATAAATGAAGAATTGATGTTCACCATAAGATGTTCTTGGGCTGTAAGACTTGACGATTCCATCTTCATCGACATGAACAAACTTATAGTCAGGCGAGCCATGTAGCACGACAGTCGCTTCAACTGATGTTGTCATGTAATTGAAAACTGTCACACGAATTCCAACTTGTTCACCTTGTCGACATTCTGACGGCATCTCAACATTAATATAAAATGGTTGACATCCAACATATTCAAGTGGGAATCTGATCATTCCATAGCCATCTGATGGACTTACACTGAAAGCTGATACCATCCATAAAGCTGGAATATCTGGAACGTCAAGTGTGAAGACATAACGACCATGTGGACCGATGTTGACATCTTTCCACATCCAAACATTATCATAATGTCGTTGAACTCGATTGAAACGGAATTTCCTGAATTCAGAGAGAAGTGTGTGATTATGATAATCACAACCAGCTTCATCAGCACCATCTTCACAATCAAAGAAACCGTCACATTTCTTGTCAACACGATAACAACGACCATTGAGACATTCAGCATAACCTGTCGTGATGTTGCAGTTATCGGGACGTCTTGGAACAATTCCATCGGTAAAGACAACCAATCCAATGTATTCAAACGTTCGATTAGCATCAATGCCATAAGTTGACGATGGGAAGTAAACAAGTTCATCAGGATTACCTTCATGTGAATACCAACGATGACTAAACGTTCCATTTGTTTCTTCATCAAACTTTGACATTTGTGTGATGACATTAGCGTAGGTTAATTCATTTCCAGCTTGCATGGTATAGAAAGCATTGTCAATGCCTGAAAGTCCAACATATGATCCCGGTTCACCATAAATTGCAACTTCAACCTTTTCTCCTGTTCGATGTTTTCGATTGTTTATAAAAACTGAAAATTCATTACGTGAAATTCCATTGACAGGGAATGTGATGCTGTCAGCAACAATTTGTCCATATGGTCCAATATTCCAAACAACCATCGTTGCAACTGGTGCCATTTCAGCGCTGAGTGTTACTGACATCGTTCTAACACCATCTTTGAATGCTTCAACACCGTTGGTTAGAATTATTCCCTTCGACATCACCATGTATTGGAATGATTCCATAAAGAAGTTCGCCTCAATATGGAAGACAATATACTCTCCAACTTTCCCATCCGTTGTGCTTGTTGTGACTTTAATGTGATTATTTTGCGGTGAGAAGTGAGATAAGAAAAGAATTTCAGCTTGTGCACGTTCACCAAATGGATCGACATAATTTGCAAAGAGTTTCAATTGTGAAATTTCGCGAAGAAAATCTTTGCTTTGTCGACTGTTGTCAAGTTGAAGGTCGTTACGTAAATCAATTTTTAATTCCCAAACGCCAGGCTTTTCCGACATTCTTAAGATTGTTTGTGGATAATCACGACGTCCACCATTCCGACTGTCAACAGTTCCAGTAATTTCCATCACTGATTGATAATAATTCGATAATGGAAGTTTCGAGCCGTCGTGATATTCAGCAATGACGTAAACAGTCATCGGCATCATTGGTTTGATGACTTGTGGTGTTCCACCCATAAATCCAACTTTAATTGATGAATTATAAATCCGAGCAATTGAATATCCTTCAATAATTTCATCATAATAACGTTCACCAACTTGCGCAATAATTAAAACTTCCATGTTAGCAAGATTCGGAACCATTTGCTTAAGTTCATACATTGGATATTTGAATTCAAAAGTTCCATTAAAGAATCGAAGATATGGAAGAGTATTTCGATAGGGATCGGAATATCCAGGCGTAAATCGACTCCAAGTTGACTGTTCTGGTTTATCAATCCAAAATGGCCAATCTTCTTCAAAGTTGTAGCGCGTCTCAACAACGTAATTGTCTTGATAGCCACTGCCAATACTTCCAGTTCCGAGATATCTTGGATCGGTTGTTTGATCGATTGTTGGGTTAAGGTTCGAATAAGGATCACGATTGACTTGATTGATTTGATTATTGTATTGTGTGTTTAAGAAAGGATTGTTGGTGCTGTAGCCTTGCTTACCAGAGTAAAGTTCAGTGTTGTAATTGTAAACTATTCGTTTGTATGCATCATATCTAACATTCCTAGGATCAACTTCCGGCTCGTAACCCATATTCCACACTCTAAACTGTTGGTTTATATTCTTAACATCAAAGAATCCAATTGGCCTGAAGATCGCTCTCAGCGTTAAATTTCCATGAACTGGTGAACCATTTGTGAAGTTTGCCATAACTTTTCCATGCAGGTACGGATCGGTTTCAAAAAAGAAAGCCGGCATTGTCACATTAACTTCAAATCTTGTTTGGTAATATTCTTCCACTTGAAATTTATGTTCTTCTGTTTGTCCTTGCGCAACAACTTGAATAATCCATTCACCATAAACTGGTTGATCGGAAAGTCGATAATCCAAGCTGACAGTTCCGTAGTTTGATTGTCTTGACAACCAACGTCTCATTATATGACGATTTGGATCTAACATGTAAACATCAACAGCATTGTCATAGCCTTTGAGTTCAGTTGTGATGGGAATTGCACGAAATTGCACGAGATCGCCTTGCTTGTAGACCGGTTTGTTTGTCTGAACGAAGATCGTCATCGAACGTTGTGAAAATGTTAATTTCGTCTCATTTAAGAAAGCAATTCCACCGAAAGCTTTCTCATATTTCCCTTCAACTCTCAACTTGTAATCACCAGGCACAGTTGTCGATGGAACACGCATAAGAAGCGTCTCAGGTTCGCCCGTTTTAATGATTTGAGAATCTGATCCCATTTCAACTCCATCACATGAAATTGAAGCTCGAACAGTAATCGGATCTTCACTTTCGATAAATACTGAAACGAAGACACGATAGATTTGATTCGGTCGAACCATTCTCGATGCAACAACGAAGTATGTTGCATCATGTATCAGTGGATTGTCAATGTTGTTAATGTTACTTTCAAATATTGGATTTAATGGATTTCTTGACAGTGGATTGTAATTGGTTCGATCGCGATTCCTTCCTGGTTGAGTTCCAATGCGATTGCGATTTCTGTCTTGTTCTCTTTCTCTACTCTGATCGCGATCACGACTCAAACCAGGCCTTGCACCTGGTCTCGAATCAAAATCTCGTCCAACATTGTTTCCTTGACTAAATGGATAATTTTGATCTATGGAATTGCCGAATGTGTCACGAAATGTCGTCTTCTCGAGATCATCAACAGTTCGATATGCTGGCGTAGGATAATTCTGATTCAGATTATTCTCTGTGTTAAAACGCGGCACTTCGTTTAAATTCTGAGTAAGCGTCACTGTTATCAGTGACAAAATTACCAACGACAATAAAGCGCCACATGACATCGTGGTGGTGAACCGATGCCACAAGCACTTCATTTTGTTGTCAAACTAAAAATGAAAATATAAAATGTGTTCGTTAAATTTGACAAGAAAATAACAAAGTAACAAGTAACCCTTACGTTTTTTAATTAAACTCCTTGTGTAAGCTTGCTTTTGAAATTAATTTCCATTAATTTTCATTATAAGCAAGTCACGGAATTATCTGTAATGAGATTAAAAAGAAAAAAATGAGAAATTGTAGAAATAAATTTCATGTTTAATTTAAATCTTACACATCCAACTAATAAGAATTAAATATTCATAAACCATGTGATCTAAAAGAACACCCACCCACGCAATGAATTCTTCTTTTCGCCCTCTCTTAAATTATCTACGCGGATTCTTGAATAAACTTTCTAATCTGTTTAATGATGTATTCGCATTTCCTTCATCATTTCATTAAATCCCTCGGGTTGATATTGATAAAACTGATTTGTTGAAACGTTTTCCGTCTATTTAATGTGTTTTGAATGGGTCACTGTGTAAGTTGCGTCATAAGAAAAACGAATAAACATTTATAATCAACATAAAACTTAATCTACATTAAATCGAATCAAACTTTCAGCAATTTCCTCGATAAAAAAAGTTTCACAGAATGAGATATTTTTAGAACTCGCACAGATTAAAAGTTCGATGAGAAATCGACGTTAAATACCGAAGGTGATACAAAAAAAATGAAGGAAACAACACGAAGAATAACTTGAATGTTATTTCGTTAAAGTTAATCTAAGTCATTGAATGAAAGTAGTTCTAAGTAAGTAGGTTAATGTTCTTAAGAATGCGTCATTAAAGAAAAGGGCAGTGTTTCATTAAATTGAATTAGACAACGAAAGCTGAAGTCCTTTATCACTCTAGTGCTTGTTCATGGCATTAAATCAAAAAGGAAAAAGTAGAAAAGAAAGGCAGGAAGTAAATCATATGATGTTTCAATTATACTCATAACAATAGTTTCAGAACGGAAAACTTCCAACTCGAATGTTTTCTTTTGTGATTATTTCATTAAATTTCGCCATGATTTTCATTTCTTTTCTCTCTGCTTTAATGTTCTGCAATTGAATGAATGTATCAAATTGTGAGTAGTACAATCAAACAGGCAAACATTTTATTAGGGTTCATATTTTGAACAATTGTACAAGTCATGTAACTAAGGGTTGGTTCATACTGCACATTTCACTCCACACTTGCACTAATGCAATCGTCAGCCGACATAAATAACAGAAATAAATTCGATTAGAATGTTAAGAAGAGTGGGAATTGAATAATCAAATCGGCCATGAACTTCCACGTTTCTCGATGTTCCTTTTAATTCAACGATATGTTATCGATTTCTGCACTATCATGCCGTGTCGTGTTCGATATTGTATTGAAATTCAATCTAATGTTTGTTATTAAATTGCACCCTTCGCTGCAGCATTTCCCCATGTAAAAATGTTCATTTCATTGATGTTTAAAATGGAAGTAAATAAATAATCATTGAACGAGACTTCACATAAAGCTTCTACAACTACCTAAGAGGAGTTTTCGAAGTATCAGCATCACCTGTCAAGAATGTAAGGATTTTCTTGAACAATATGAAATATGATGCGAAAGGCTAACTGTATCTGATGTTTACAGACTTTTCAAAACCTAATCCATCTATTTTAATGCAAAAGTTTCCCCTATCTGAAAATATTTCCACAGATACCGAACGAAGGGATGACGGGTTGGAAAAGTATAAGAAAGAAACCCCATGACCATTTAAATGATTCTTTTTTTGTAATTTCAAACTGTTGCAAAAGGAAAATCCCAGAAAAAAATATTAAATTTCTCTCATCTCTTAAATTTTTCTCGGGGATTACGACGCACATGTTACAATTATTTGCCTATGAACACGGATTTATGGGTGAAATGTATGCAAACTGTTTCAAGTATTTTCAACTTTAATGTTTGAGTTTCCTTATGGAATTGAAGGTTTAATTTCATGAGGGATCCAAACTCACATTGAATCATCAGCAAACAGGAATTTAAAGTCACTGATTAAAAATTCCTTCAATTTTATGTTTTCGTGTTTATGACTTAAATTCGTATTTAAAAAACTCGCTGATGTGATGAAATTAATTTCCTTTATTTAAATAAATTTAATAATAAAAATTCTCGTGCGATGAAAAGAGCAGAAAATTATGAGAAATATTTGAAGGGAAACGCAGAAGTTTTTTAAATGGAAATTTGTCAAATTTAAACTTAATTGCTACATTTGAACAAAAAGATATTTCGTTTAAAATTATCGAACGCTCGAGCTCATAATTTATGAGAAACTGATTAAAATGGAACAATTTTCTTTTTAATTCAATGCGGCGGCAAAAGGTTTGTTATAAATATTTCTTATCCCTTAAATACCTAGGGTGACTCGCTTGACTGTGTGCAAGCCATAATGTTCATCAGTTTTAATTTCAATATGATATATCGCACATAAAAATAATTCAATGGATGAGAATAATGATAAAAGTGCCTACGACACAAAAATTGAGCGAATGAAACTGTAGAACCCTCAACGCTTTTGTTATCGAATGCGAAATGCGTCCCTTGAGAATGTTGGGAAGATTTTCCATCTCTTTCTCGACATTGGAATCACGTTCACCGAATTTAAATTCTCATCTTCTCTCGAAAAAGCTTTTTTTGATATCACACTCCCAAACAACATTGCCACGCGACCTTGGGAAAGGATATTCAACTCTCAGTTGAATAAAAGGAAGAGGAAAGCTTTATCGACTTTCTCCCCCATCATGAAACTTTAATGGAATTCTCCACTCAAAATATTGCCGCCTATTGTTTAGTAAGGAAAATCTTAAGGAAAAGCAATCGGAAATAATCTATCGGGAATGCTTAATTAGAACGAATTTTTAAGACTTTCCTTCTTTCCTTCCATTTTATTGCACAACATTAACAACTAAAATCATTTTATGAAACATGAAAAAATGCCTCTTAAATTAAGAGTGAATAGCAAGTTATTGTCGATTTCAATAAAACCTCATGAACTAACTTTATCACGTAAATTAAATCTTTTCACTGAATGACTGCTGGCGTTACTCAGAGTCGGCTTTCTTTTTTGAAGGGACAGTATTTAAATATTTTCTCTCTAACAATCGTCAATTATCACCCTTTCTGAAAACTATACATAGAAGCATAACGTTGATTTTTTATGATCATAAAAAACATCTAAAACTACATGCATAAAAATCCAACTAACAATTTTTGAATGTCGTTGTTGTTGCATCCAATTAACGATCTGTTTTTTTTTCTTTTTCAGTTGATTTAGATATGATGAACTGGCTTATTTGGAGATTAACAAAGAAGCCCACTTGAAATTCTCTATTAATCATTTTTTAGGCTTCCCCCTGCACTTGGATGAATATCCCTTCAGACTTCAGACTTTCATGTTATTCAATTACATGTTTAAAAGTTGAATTAACAGAAAACTGTATAAACAACATTTTCTGTTATATAGTGAACCATTCTCTATCCCAACTATGTTTACAATCATCTAATTACTCATTTTCAACGACTTCTTTATTGATAAATATTTCTTCATATAGCATTTGAGTGAATTTATTGTTAGCGAGACTTCACGAGAAGTTGTTCTTCAAAAACACTTCCTTAATAAGAAAAATTCTTTACGATTTGTTTTCTGTTTCATATTTTCCTGTTCTTCATTGCCCTTAGCGGCTGTATGGCTCATGTTGATGTAATGTTTACACAATAACCCTGCGTGCCAATGTAAATACCAGAACAGTTCCATCCAACAGAAAAAGAATGAAAGGGGATCGGAAGCTACTCACAAAGAGATCTTAATAGATGTTTGGTGTTGACGAAACGATCCAGAAATCAACTCATCTTACAAGATAGACTCGATTTAAGTTCTTTGCTGGTTGAAGTCATTTCTTCTTTCATTCACACCATAATTTTCCCATTTGGAAATTCGTTTAAATCATTAAAAAAAATGAACTACCATCACATGTTGTAAACATCATTTTCCGAGTTCTCGAACTTGTTCTGTTTATTTATCGTGAACTATACACATGATTCATGAGTTTTTGTGAGTAGTTTTTGCCATTCCGAGAAGTTAAGTTACGGTTAATCGTTTCGATCAACGAGAGATTTTCATTCAATCACAGAGTTTGATGTTTTGAAAATTTTCAAGGCGGTCGGCGAGTGTTAAAGCATTTGAGGCAATTATTTAATGATTTGAACTTCTTCTCAAGGAATTCAAGTCTTTCCCCTGGGACTTGACAACTTTGAGTGATATGAAATTAAACTCTTTCGCTTTCACTCACTTTGATGTGATATCTGACAAGTTCTTTATGCATTCGTTGAACTCGCTAATTATTGCTTTCCTGCTTTTTGCTCTTCCAAATGTTTCACATTTTCTCAAATATTATTTATTTCCTTCTCCAGATACAGATAAATTAACATAAAAAGTTTTAATCGACATGGGTTGTGTAGGTTTAATACAGAAAAAACATCATACGGAGGAATGGAAAGATACAATTTTATAATATAAATAACCATTCCCAATGAATTATTTCGTTACATTTTCCTAACGTAATCTTTTCTCAATCTACCATAAACACCTCGCGAACATTGTCAGTTAATGTCATAAATTTCTTTGTGTCTTAAATCGTCTAAAACATATGTCACGTTGGGCTAATCTCGAAGCAACTCAACCATAGCGGTCATATGTATGCATGTGAGATAAAACAATGGCCGAAAGTATGTGGTCAATTAGCGATGTGCCAAGCTGAGAATCGTTTTTTAATTTATTCTAATCTTTTTGAAAAAACAATTTTAATTAGACAGAATAGATTAATGCCCAACGTTTTGTCAAATGGTGCCACTGGGGAGTTTTCGATAATCTGGCAGGTAACATAATCGCAAGGTGGGCTTCTTGTTGTTGTTTTTGCTCTTTCGTGACGGAAATTGCTTTGCCTGATGAACTTTAATAATTTTTTATTTTCAATTAAGCCGGAAAATTGTTCATGTGAAGTTGGTCAATGAATTACGGCTGATTATCGATTCCGTTTAAATTGAAAAATACTTTTTAAAGGATACTTTAGAAGCAATAGCACCTTTCACCCCTTCTCATGTTCAAAGGTATTGAAGCATAAGATGAATTCCATTAAACATGATCATTAGCTACGCGTGCATGCTTTTCAGTGAACAATTTAAGATTCTAATAACAAACAAGACTCAGACCAAGCATATTAGATCAATAAACTGCTTTCATGATTAACAAATCATTAAACCCGGAGAGAGAACAAAAATGTTTTCGTTTTCTGACTACTTTGTGTAAAACAGAAAAAGAAAGAGTTCTACAAATTAAATTCCCATGAAGATAAAGAAATAAGATACTTTGGATTTTTCATAGTTTATTTTAATTAACTTGAAATCATAAACGAAGAAAATCTAAAATTTCCAGGGCAATTAAAAACGGAAAATTCTAGTTTTCTTTTCAGTGGGTGTCTAAATAAATATCAACTTCGACACGAAACATGTGCCATATAAAGTTTATTTGAACTCGTTTCTCTGGGTTTGTTTTTATTTGTTCTTTCATGAGGTGAAGTCGGTTAGTTTAGTAGATGTTTGATTGCTTTGATTTCTGGAAAGAAGAACATGACATTAAGCTGCGCATACATTACGACAAAGTTTTTCAAATATAACTTAAGAAATCAGAAAGAAAATTAAAATAATTGAGCAGCAACTTTTTATTTTCTTTTGTCAAACGTCGAAATATTAAATAAAAATTTTTCCGCATGACAAAAGTTCTATGAAAATCGATAGATTTGCTATCGACGAAAAAGCCATTGTTATGGTTTGTATTCATAAATTAGGTCACTTGACACGTTATTTGAAAGAAATCTTTAAGAAAAACATGGAAGCAATTTTCAAAAAAATTTCTTATTGTACATGAAATTTAATAAATTTGTGAATAAATCATCAACACATTATGAACGCCGACAAAAGGTTACTCGAGTCCCTTCCTCAGTGCGCTCAAATTCTACCAACCTTTTCTATTATTTTCTTGTCTTTTGTGTACAGAATGACAATCAAGTTGAACAACCATTTAGTTGAAAATCAATCAGGAAAAAATGTGCGTCAAATTGTCAACAATGTTGCTTTTTTTCTCCGGTGAAATGTTCTAAATTTAAAATGAACTTTTTGTTGCTACGCATTTTTCGAGGAATCACTTTACGAACAATAAGATAAAATTAAAAATCTTGAGTGTCGTCAGCTAATGATCTCTAATTTAAGAGAAATAAATGACAAGAATGTGAATCATAAAACCGCTTTTAAAATGTTATAAAAATAGTTTAAGGGATGTTCGATTTACAATGGAAATGTTCAATGAACTTGGTTTGTGTGACGGGGTCATTATCATCAACTGTGAGTGTTTATCTGCGAAAAGCAAACGAAAACATTCCATAATTTACACATATAATTGAATAGGAAACATAAATGAGACATTAACAACTTTTATCAACAAATCGTGCCTTAGTATGTCGTTGAACAACAAAAGAAATCATTTTGCACGTGTCGGCGTTGCATCGACTTGATTTCAAATGTAATCAGCGATGATTTCACGTTCTTGTAAAGAAGTTTGTTGTATCTACGAAGTCAAAAAGGGATTTAAGCATTAATTTTAGATACTTATAATGTACATGCGTCATGTATCTATTGAATGCTTTTAAATTTCACGCATGAGATCAAACAGCAGGAAAAGAAAACCGACTGCGGGTACGAAAAATGCGACAATATTTTAATTCGTTTTTATTTTACCATCAAATCAAGTTTTAACATTTTCTTTTCTCATGTCGACATGATAAAAGATTTTGTTAATTTATGAGTGTCTACAAAGAGTTAAAAAGAAGAATCAAACAAGAAAATGTTAAAGAATTCTTTCAATAATTTTGCACTTCTCTTCACCCTTTTCTCTGTTTTTAATTTGCGCTCTCTATCTTTATTTGCTTAATTTATTTCAATTTTTATATCATGAAAAGGAATTAAAAAAAGAAACAAGTTTTTGACTTTGAAGCAACGTTTCTTTAAAAAATTCTTATTAAATAAAACTTTGTAATATTGAAAAAATGTAAATTGATGCGCGAAATTATTTGATTGGCGAAAGAGGGATAAGCAAAACGAGAAATTTTGTTTCTTATTTTAATTAATTTCAAGCTCAATTTTGAATTTTTCTATAAATTTCTTAAAACCGATATGGTTATAATCAAACCAAACCAGGATTTGTTATCATTGAGAACATTTTAAAGAAATATTTTATTCGTTTATTTTCAAAAACTTGATTTGTTGTCGTTGACCTCACTCAAGTGCGTGAAATGAAAAGATTACGTCTCATCGTCAACACATTTGCTAAAAATATCGTAGACTAAAAATCATTTAAATTTCACTTTCTAACTAGACCCGGCAGTTTCAAGTATCATTAAAATCGTATTAACAACACGACAATAATTTATGCAAACAAATATTCAAACGCACATTTTCTTAATGCAAATATATGCAAAACTAATTTTTCTATGCTTCTGTCTACTGTTTGTCCGTTTATAATGAGTTTTTCCTGTGACAGTGCTTTTGGCGAGACATGCAGCTTAAACCCGTTATCGTTGTTATTGCTACTTTGGGCATTATGTTTTCACCAGAATTCTCTCACCGGCTTATTTAGCATAATACACTTTTACAACTTGTAAATGGCATTGCATACAGAAAAGGCAATGTGTACATAATTGAAGTGGAGTAGAAAAAAAACCTGGCCGTTGTAAAATACGAGATCCATGCTATTTCATTTCAACTCGTCATAAAAGGGAATGTCTCGGTCGAGTGGATATGCAGACATGTTTTTATATTCTTTGATAATAATAATTCATTTCAAGAAGCTCTTAGAAAATTCAATGAACGAACGATAAGCGACATGAACACTAAACGCACGAATTGCCTCTTGATCGAGTTAGATAAACGATCAAAACAGTTGCATAATGTGTCGACATTTAGTTACTGACAAATGACTTGATTGTTCATAAAATCTGGATTTATGTGAATTTAAATGCTTATTAAAAGGTTCACATCTTAAAAGAAGAAAAAGAAAATGATTTTTTATGAATTCATAAAGAACAGCAGATGCCGCAATGCCGAAAAAAAGTTTTACTGGTTTAATGAAGGCAGAAGGAAAATAATTAGAACGAACAAAAAAACATCTCGAGACAACAAATGATCTTTAGATGGCAGTTGGAGCCGTTGATGGATTAATGGACTAAAGCCATCAGAAATTAGAAATAAATTCAGTGATTGTGAGTAGCCTAAGAATAAAGTAAAGCAAGCGTTCCCGTTTTCATATTCAGATGATCTCAGATACTAAAATTCAAATAAAAATTTGTTATTTAGTCGTAAAATGAATTAAAATTGGCAGATGCATGTGTAATTCATTCCATTTCAACACGAGCACATATCTCGCATTAAATTCAACCTTTTCTACTTTAATTATGAAATATAATCTAACATCAGCAATACATTTGCTGCTTTTTTTAAACCGAATTTCAAATTTTATTCAATTTCAACCCTAACAACGAAATGCTGAACAACAACCCATCCTGGTGCAAACAAATGAAAGAAAACATTCAAAACTATGCCATCACCAGTTGTGAATTGAAATTTCCGCACGTGGCTTTTCAAACATCTTTTTTTTTTGTAGTTTTCTTGAATGCAACGCTCATGAGTTTTGATTTATAAAATCAGGTCTAGAATTAGAGTAAGTTGCATATTGCTGCTTGTTAGATTCCGCTTCATATCACACATTCTACGCAATAAATCTCTTTGTATACCTTTCATCATGTGTCAGTTTTGTTTGCTTTCATTAGATTAAAATATATCCAAAAATATGTTTCTTTTATTTTATTTAAAAAGAATTTTTTTAAACAGTTTCGGTTAAGCAACATTGAAGTTCATAATCCAAAAATGTTTACAGATTTAAAGTTTTTATTGGGATAAGTTTAACTAACCCGAGGATCATGAAAGTCATAAAAATTAAGCACGAAGCGACAGCTGAAATCTGACACTTTTATTTTCATTCTCTTTCGAAAAAAAAGTTTAATTACAATTCACAAAACAGGGATTGACCACATTAGAATGTTTTATTTTATAGTTTATTTACAGTTGTCGGCTGATGTTGAAGTTTCACTTCAAAGAATTACAAACCAACAAAAAATTTACCCCAAAAAAAAACGGAAGACGAATGTGATGGAAAGCAGATCATTTAATACCGATAATTTGCCAGTCATTAAATGGCTTTAAGCAGACTCGACAGATTTATTCAATGAATTATTTCATTAGTCAGTAAACAGAAATTCTCCACTTAATGATCAAAAGTGTTTTGTTTTGAATTCTATTAAAAGAAAATAAGAAATAATGCGAAGAGTTTAAGAAAATTTGATTTAATTCGATTACTTAAGGCAATGCTCGATGCTTCATGATTAGCACACAGAGATCGCTTTGGTGTCTTACTGACTGATTCTCATTGTTCTAGGTCAAGAGGTCATCAAAAACTATATGTGAAGTGTTCTTAAATTATCGTCATGTAGATGTGTGTAAACAAAATGGATCTTGAAATGACTCACAAACTGTCACAAGTCTAAAGTTTCATTGACATTCAACACCGACAAAAAAATATGTTTCTGTACTCTCTCGACACATCTTCGATATCTTACAAAGTATTTTTTCTGATATTATCATGTAAAAGACGTTGGATAAACATTCAAGGAATTCTTTGACGTTCCATGTCATGACAATATGTTTCAACACCATGTGGACAATTTTTATTGGCATCAAAAATAAACATTTGACATTTAAATAAAGTCAACAAACTATTCTTTCACTTTCTTTCTTCAGGATGTTACCCTAAAGAGTATTGAAATTGTAAGTTGATAGTTTTACTGAGAGGTTAATTACTATAACATTTTAATTATCATAGAAAAATATCCTGACCCTTGCTATGAAATTGATATATCATTTCGATATGTTTATGCTGTAGACCAATTATCCAAGTCTTAATTGTAAATTGATAAGACCTCCCGAAACCTTTGAAATTTAAAATTATTTGGCAGCAGAAAATTAAAAGTTATTGAACCTTAATGAAGAATTATCGTAAAACTTTTTCAATTTCCAAAAATTATAAACAAAGAAAAAAATTAATTAATGCTTTGTAAGTAAAATAAAAGTTTAAAAAATAATAATTAAGTCCAATCATGTTTTTATTTTGAAAACCCTGCGGTATATTTTTGCAAGAATTTTTTAATGAACATCTGTAGTTTTTTGGCATAGCACATTGGACATGCAATAATTTTGAAAGGCATGCAATTGATGTATGCAGGTAAATGAATGTGTCCCTTTTGTCATAAAACACCTTGAAGTATCAAACATTAAAAAGGAAGTGCAACCCCAATATTATTCTAGATATGATATTGTTCAATGGCACAAAAGGATTTTTATTCCTTTTTTTCTCGGTTCCGCATCTTTACAGCTTTTCCGTTGAAATCTTCTCTTTTTTTCTCTTTCTAGTGTCGATGCCGAAAGCGCTTGTTTTGATTTTAGTTAGCTTCTTTGAAACATTCTTCAACGGCGGACAACTTACACACCATCATGCATTACAGTGGAAAACCTGTTTCATTGTGTTCACTTTTGCGTGTGTTGATGTTATACGTCACTTAAAAGGTAAAAATGTTTTGTTTAATTGTAACTTTGCTAAGGTATTTCCATCTAATTTGAATAAAAATCGATATTCATATCATCCAGAACGAAATCATTCAACATAATCGAAATACTTGTACCATCGGTAGCGTTTAATTGATAAAAGTTCTGCTTTTATTATTTTTTTGTCGTATAAAATTGTTGAAGCATGCTTTAGCTATACAATGTAGCTGTGTTATTCCACACCCATCGATCGCTTTTTATATCGAATTTTTTATTCCATTTCCCCGAAATTTTCTTGATCCACAAGTGTTTTTCCGAATCACCTTATTGATCATATAACCGTCGTTTGTAATCGAGGACAAATTTAGGGAGTTGCAATGCAATATGATCGCGAAGACAAGAATTGGTTAACGCCCAAAGCACAAGAGTTAGTCATGTTAATTAATTTTACCTGCTTATGTGGCGGACTTTCCTCGAATTAAACTCTTGCTAATCCTATTAACTTTTGTTTTATCACTGTTGTCTTTCAATTGTACATTAATAATTTACTAATGATTCTTATCATATAAATAATTTCAAGAAATTATTACTTCAACACTAACACTATCAACTTCACACCAATTTTCAAAGCTTAATTCAAGTTATTTTTAATATTTTCAGAGAATTTTATCACTTTTTATGAGTCGGCTTTTTAACTGTTTACAAACTTGCACAGGAGAAAATACGGATATTGTCAGGATTAATGGTAAAACAATCGTTGTAGAACTCGGCATACACTTCTTACACTTTCTACAGTTCAGAAGAAACTAAACATCGTTTGAGAGGTCGGTTTTTGTATTAGCAATCTTGCGTACCCTTCAAAAATCTAATAAAACGCCGTCGAAAAAATTAGAAACGGCGGCGAAACTGAAAATTGTTTAAAAACAAATAAAAATTATTGTCTGCAATTAAAATTCATTTATTGCATTTGAAACTATTTTGATGACATTAGTTTGTAAAATATAGAAGCAATTTAATCATATTTGATTTATATACCAATTCAAATTCCATTGATAATGAAATATTTTGTAAACAAAAAACTGCAAAAAACCATTTTTGCCAACTTCAACTAGAAAATTATAAATTTATTTTTACCATTAAACATCCATACTTATTCATTTCAGTTGCATTCAGTAGAAATAAATTTATGTCTAAATAAAATTGAGTTCAACAACTAGATTGTTCTTTAAGATTAAGAATGAACATTCAGTACATTTCATGAGTAATAACGAAGTGATAACAGAAGCCGGTATGGCACTTTATTATTATTAAACAAGTATGAAAGTCTTCCTTTTTTGGTCTCGAAATGTTTTCTGAAAATTTTTTTACGTCATTCTTATCTCCTAATTACATATTCTTAATCAGTATTAATCAGTAATATTTTTCTTCGTCTTACTTAATCATTCCCATCAAGATTGGATAAAAAAATAATATAAAAGCTAACACTTAGTGGTTGGAAATAAAGTCTTTGTTCATAATGTGGTTGAAGATTGTTCTCTTTTTCGCTGTCACCAATGTCATAACTTGTCAAATTTTACCTCCATCTGGCCTTCGGAGGTTGAGGCCTGGCCCTATCATACAAACTCGAAGTGGTCCTATTCAGGGACAAGAAGAAACTTACGATTTATTTCGAAGGATTTACACTTACAAAGGTATTCGGTATGCTCAACCACCAGTTGGTAATTTAAGGTTTCGCCAAGCACTTCCTGCTACACCATGGACAGAGACCTTGAGAGCGTGGGAGTATGGATCGGAATGTCCACAATTTGGATTAGTAATAAATGATAGAATATCAGGCGAAGAAGATTGTTTGTTCCTAAACGTAGCTACACCAACGAACATCAGATCGAGATTACCAGTTGCTGTCTTCATTCATGGTGGTGGTTTGCATGTGGGAAATGCCCAAATAAATTTATTCGGTCCCGAGTTGATTATTCGAGAAAATATTATAACAGTTGGATTCAATTATCGATTAGGCGTCCTTGGCTTTCTTAACACAGGTGACAGATTCTCACCAGGAAATTTTGGAATCAAAGATATGATTTTGGGCTTGCAATGGGTCAGAGATAATATTGATTTTTTCGGTGGTAATCCTAATGATGTAACAATAATTGGTGGTAGCGGTGGAGCAGTTGGTGTCAACTCGTTAGTGCTCACACCTGCCGCTAGTGGACTTTTTCATAAAGCTATTGCATCATCAGGTTGTTTATTTACTCCATGGGCTTTCAATAAAAATCCCCAACAAAATGTTGCAAATTTAGTTCGTGATTTAAGACTTTTTGTAACATCAAATGAAGATTTAGTCAATCAATTAAGGGGAGTTTCTGTTGAGAGTTTATTGAGAGCTTCGGGAGGGTTAGACCCTGATTTAATATTTGAAGAACAAAATTTCATGCCATCAATGGATCCAGTTGATTCATTGGAACCAAGAATATTCACAGGTCCCATTGATGATCTTATTAGAACGGGAAACATCAACACAGTTCCATATATTATTGGATATACAAGCGCTGAAAATCTTTTTGTCATTCCACAAGTTCGTGAAGACCCGACAATTTTGGAAAGATTTAACCGAAACCCGAATTTATTAATTCCAGTTGAATGGAATATAACTCCTAACACTCCACAAGCTTTGGAAGTCATTACAGCATTCAGAAATTTATATTTCGGTGGTGCAATCAACATTACTGCGGATATGGCATTGCAATGGTCAGATTATTCGTCAGATCGTGATTATAATTTCCCGATGTCAAAATTGGCCCGACTTCATAGACTTCGTCAACCTGTTTATTATTATAGATTTAGCTATGATGGAGCCCTAAACTTCTTTAAAATTGCTTTATCTGTAACTGATTATCCTGGTGCAGTTCACGGTGATGACGCAATGTACTTATACAGAATGAATTTTGCTGTCAATCCCGTGCCATCGAGCGATGAAGCTTTTCTAATTCAACGACGTAAAGTTCGACTTTGGTCAAACTTCATAAGATATGGAAACCCCACAGTGTCAGCATTGGATCCATTGATAAGCGTAACATGGCCCATGCTTACTGAAAGAGAAGAATTTTTGGACATAGATTCAACTCTCATTTCAGATGTTCATCCTTTCAGACAACGTTTAGATGTTTGGCATGCTTTTGATGCAAGATTTAATCCTTAAACATTGATTTATAAAGTTTGACATCAATAAAGCATTGACTATAACTAACAAAATAAATACAAACAGTTTAATTATTGGAAGATTATTTAAATAACATATTGGGAAAGTTTAATCTTTGCCAAATATTCATAAATAATAAAAAGTTTTTAAAACATTTAACTGAAAAATTTTAGAAAATATTTGACAGTCAGACATAAATAACATTTTCAATTATTTGAGCTAATTAAGAAAATATTTCTTGTTGTTTCACCAATTTCGCGCGATAAAAACGAAAATAATATTTTAAACTTCTTCACAAGTATCAAAAATTATTGCAAAACTATAAATCAAAGTGTGTGAGTTAAAGACATTTTAGATATTTATGTACTTCATTCGAAATTGAAGTTTTTTTAAAATCATCTTTAGAAAAAAGAATGTTTCAAAAGTAAAAAAAAGCAAGAGAATAAAAGTTTTTATTCGTATTTTGATTACTTCATAAATCGCTTTGAAATTTTAAATTTCATTGTAATAACCAATTTCAATTGGTTTATTTATGGCATAAACATGTGATTTATAGGAGATTTACGAAACTTAAAATCTTTATGAAGACGCTATGGTTAAAATTTTAAAGTATCGTCGGGTACATATTATTTTTGAAAAACCCAATCACCGATGTACATTGGGTTTTTCGAAGTGAACAATGAACCAACGATACTAGTTTGCAATGTGTTTTCAATGGGCGCGAACTAACTTTTCTTTTATTTCAATTATTCCTTAGGTTCATGTATATCTTTCCAAAGTAACTAAACTTTAAAAATAATGGATGAGCCTCAATTAACAACTCCTATTAATGACAGTGACATAAATACCGATAAAAATAGTTTAAATGAAAATGTAATCGACGAGATACAAGAAGCATCAAAAACGAATCCCTTGGGAAATTCAACTGAGAATTTTTCTCCCCAACAAAATGATAACTTAAGTGAATCGTTAGCATTACCAATACCTGAGGAAGCAGATAAAATGATAACAGATTCATCGGAAGTTGAAAATGAAACTGTGAATGAAAATGCCGGTACAAGTCAAGACGTTTCGATCACTGATTTGAATGATGTTCATATGGAACAGTCAATGGAGCAAGTGATGTTCGAAAAAACCGGCCCAAGCTTAAATGAAACAGAGAATGAAAATAAAAGCTTAGATTTTGATAATGAGACATCAATAAATATTTCTCAATTGGTTGTTGATCGACAAGACGACAGTAATGATGCATTTAATGCTCTCAAAGAATCGGAAACTGACGCTTTACAAACACCAAAAGAAGAACCAAAGGAATCTGACAAAAATGAAGCATCAGAAGGTAAAGATGAAGATTCTTCAATGCAAGTGGATTCTGAAAGTGCATTTGATAATATTAACAATGAAGAAAGTTCGCATTCACAAAAGCCAACAGATGAAGATGCGAACATTCCTGAAAATGAGAAGCAAGTTGATACTGAAACAAATACTGACTTAAACACTGAAGCACCAGAACGTAGCGATGCTGCTAGTAACACTGATTCTCAAGATAAAGCTGATAAAGAATTTGAAGATGCTGAAGAAGCTCCTGAAGGTAAATTTTGTTATTTTTTTTAATTTTCTTTCCTAACTTTTATTATTTTATTATCTAAGATGATATTACAACAGAAACAACAAATGAAGGTGAAGGAATTGATGAAGACGTTTGTTTATTGGGAGACGAATCAGTTGTTGAAATGGACAAAGAAGCTGGTCAAGCAGAAGAAGTCATAGACGATGATGAAACAGAAGGTGAACAAAACTCAAGTAAGCAACAAAGCACCGCAGAAGCAACAGATGTTAATGATGTTTCACAAGAAAAAGATGATTCGGAAGATGTTGAAATGACTGAAGAAATTGTTGAAGATATTCCACAGAAGGAGAATGAAATACGCGAAATTTCTGAAGATGAAGCAACAGAACAATCTTGTCTAAATTGCGAGAATTCAACGAAATGTTTATATCAAATGTTGGAAGAAAATGGAGAAATGAAATATTTATGCTCATTCACGTGCGTGAAAGAGCATCGCGATGATAATCCAGATAAATATTCTTTAACTCATAAAAAACTTTTCATTCGTGAAATTTTTCCAATTGAAAATGTTTGTGTGAAATGTAACGAAACGAAAAGTTGTAAATATCTTTATCGATTGACAATCACAAAAACAATTACAAAGAGTCAAGAAACAACACCTGGAGATGAAGTTGAAACATCGGAAGGAACATCATCTGCTGAACCAACAACAGAAAAAGTTCAAACGACAGAAACGAAATATCTTTGTGATGATTCATGTTTGAAAGAGTTTATTGGAGAGAACACTGAGAAGTACGAAATTATTGCATTAAAGAAACGTCCCTCCAAAGTTCAAGAAGAAAGTGGGCAAGTTGTTGAGCAAACAAAGGAAAAGGAAGCAGAAGAAGAACAAGAAGTTCCAAAGATTGTCGCTCGAAGTGACGCTGAAGTTGAAGCTGCAAGACTTGACCGAGATGAAAGCTTCAGACGTTGTTGTGCTCATTGCTTCAAGGAAATTAATTTCACATCAAGAACAGCACATTGGGAGAGTTTTGATTTCTGCGATGAGAAATGTTTAGGACTTTATCAAAGTATCATTGCAGCAACTTGTTGTCAATGCAATCACGTTGTTTCTTATTCAGCTATGGGTAAACTTTGCGTTCGATTTGGTTCCGACATCAAACAGTTTTGTACCACGCAATGTTTGAATGATTTCAAGGAAAATCATCATCCATGCTCGTTGTGCTCGAAGAATTTAAAGACCGACGACGATTCGAATCAAACTTTTAATAAGAAAGGGAACAACTTTTGCGATGAAATATGTGCAAAGCGTTATGACGACATTGTCAACACGAAGAAGCGTCATCCGCCATATCTTTGTTCGGTTTGTAATAACAAAAAAATTCCACGAGTTCAAGTGTTGCTGGATGGAAGCATTCACCGATTTTGTTCAACGCCATGCTTTTCTGCTTTCAAGTTTGTTAATAATGTCTCGCCAGATAAATGCGAAATGTGCACAAGATACTTTGAAAGAAAGTCAAGCGAATCATTCACAATTTATCAAGGAAAAGATCCAAAAATGTTTTGCACACAAGCTTGTATGAACATTTTTATAACGAAGAATCGCGAGATCTGGAAATGTAATTGGTGTAAAGTGAGCAAATATAACTTCGACATGGTACAAATGAACTTCAATGAGACACGAATGTGTTCGCTGAATTGTTTGACGCTTTCTGAAGTGTCCACCAATGCACTTTCACGCAAATCTTCAACATGCGATCAATGCAAATTACAAAAGCAACCTCAATATCATCTCACAATGACGGACTCATCATTCCGTAACTTTTGCACTTATCAATGTGCTCTTGGCTTTCAAAGTCAATTCACAAAGAATCGCATAGCGGGTGAAACACCGGAAGTTGTTCCAACTGGAACTGCGAAACGAATCAAACCAGCATCGCAGACATCTCAGAAGTCAAAACAACCCGTCATTTCACTTGTCCAGTCGTTAAATATACGTCATGGTGGACGTCAATACAGTTCAGGGTCAGGTCGCACTTCAGGTTCACCAATTCCCGTTCCTGAATTGACAGTTCAACTTGAACGTTTATCTGATGTACCGACACGAGTGAAAATTTCATCTCTGCAATCATTAACTGGTGGAACTTCATCAAGTTGGCGGCCAATATCGCCAGCTTCATCACCAACGCCAGTCGAGTACAAAACTCAAGTTGTGACTGTTCCCGCTCTTCCGAAACAAGTTGGAAATAAATCAACAATGTGCAAAGCTTTGACATTAAATAAAGCCATAAATTGTGTTCCAATGACATCGGAAGCTGAATGTCAAACTGAAGATTGGCTTGAGCAGAGAATGTTCGTCCCAATACCGATTCCAATCTTCGTGCCACAACCAATGTACATGGTAAGATAAAGTTAAAGTTTTATAAAGAATGTTGTTATAATTTATTGTTTATTTTCCAGTATAATTTACCAACGCCCATTCCTGTTCCTTTCCCACTTCCCATTCCTGTCCCAATATTCGTTCCAACAACAAGAAACTCATCAAATGGCATCATGAAGGAAATCAAGAAGATTCAAGAGAAAATGCCGACAGATCCTTACGAAGCTGAACTTTTAATGATGGCTGAGATGGTTGCAGGGGATAAGAAAAGAGAAGAAACTGATTCTGACTCGGATGAGAACAATGAGATTGAATATGGTGATGGAATTGAGAACAATTCTTCGTTTAATGAAGATCTCGTTCAAATGGCATTTAAAATGGCATCTGGGAATGACTTCGATGATCCACCAGTTGATTTAGAAAATGAAATGACAGCAAACACAATTTCACAATCATCAAATGCTTATGACGAAATGGATCCAATTTCACTTCAACATCATCATCAATTAATGTTACTGCAACAGCAACAGCGTGAAGCAACAGGATCAATGCAATCAAATCGTGGTCGTAAACGAATTCAAACTCAAGTTAAGCAGACGAATAGTCGAGCGCCAAGCAAAAGAATTAAAAGGGAAATGGAAGTGATACAACCGGAAATGCCGCGTGAACCAGCAGAGAAACCTGGTAAGCTTCTTATCATTTCTATTCATTTAGTTATTCATTTAATGATGTTTTATTAGACGCAAACATGTGCTTAAAATATACATTTGGAGTCAATGCCTGGAAGCAGTGGGTGGCAACTAAAAATGCCGATTTTGAAAAGTCTTCAATTCGTCGTAAGCCAATCAAATCAGAAATTCTTCAATTAACAGCTGACGAGTTGAATTACTCGTTGTGCATGTTTGTGAAGGAAGTTCGAAAGCCAAATGGCAGTGAATATGCTCCAGATACGATTTATTATTTAGTTCTTGGTGAGTTTTAAATTTGTCGATCGGAAAATAATCTAAAGGCTTGTGAGTGTGGATCGATCAATTACAATTCTCGATATTTTCATTATCTTTAGGTATTCAACAATACTTATACGAAAATGGTCGCATTGATAACATTTTCACTGATCGTTATTATGAACAATTCACTGATTGTCTTGATGAAGTTGCTAAGAAGTTTTCAGTTTTGTACAATGATTCTCGTAAGTTGAACAGAACATAGATCGAAGAGTTTCATTAATTAAATCATTGTAAATTTCGCAGAGTACATTGTAACAAGAGTTGAGGAAGAACATTTATGGGAATGCAAACAGTTAGGTGCACATTCGCCTCATGTTCTTCTAAGTACGTTGATGTTCTTCAACACAAAACATTTCAATTTAGTCGTAAGTTCAAATTGCAATCGACAAATTTTAAAAGATAAATTAACATTTAATTACCATTTAGACTGTTGACGAACACATGGAGTTGTCGTTTTCTCATATTATGAAGCATTGGAAGAGAAATCCGAACCAACCTGGTGCAGCTAAAGTCCCTGGATCTCGCAATGTTTTGCTAAGATTTTATCCGCCACAATCATCCTTGGATGCGAATTCGAGAAAGAAAAAAGTTTATGAGCAACAAGAGAATGAAGAAAATCCTCTTCGTTGTCCAGTTAAACTTTATGAATTCTACTTGTCAAAATGGTAAGTTAATTAGATAAATAAATAAAGAAATTCGAATTTTCATTTGCGTTATTTTTAGTCCGGAAAGTGTCAAAACACGCAACGACGTCTTCTATTTGCAACCTGAAAGATCTTGCGTTCCTGATTCACCAGTTTGGTATTCAACGCAGCCTCTTAGTCGCGAAGCACTTAGTAAAATGTTACATCGTGTGAAAATGGTGAAAGAAATTAACATTGCTTTATTGACAAGCTAAGCTGATTGCGTGGGTGGTCGTAAAAAATGGAAGAGTGAAAGTTTTCCATTGCATATTTTATAAAAGAAGAAAATTATCTGTAAATGAAGAAATGCAATTTAAAAATATTATTGAGATGTAAATTTTACTCATAGATATCTAATTAGAATTAACTTCAGCTTCAATCATTTTCTTGATTTAAAATGTTCTTTTTTTTCATAATGAGAATAAAATTAAAATGTAAAAGATTATAAATTTAATTAACTGAATTTTTTATTTATTTACTAAGTTTAAGAAACAATTTTTTATGCAAGCGTTTTAGGCTTTGTAATGGATCTTTTAGCTTTCATATTCTTCTTGTGTTCATCGTTAATTTGTTTCATTCGCGAGAATATTTCTGAGAAAATCTTTTTCTGCTCCTCCTCTGGAATACTTTTACGATATTCTTTCATTAAATCGTATTTTTCCCATGGTGTGGCACGCATTGCTGCTAACCGACGATGTTTATCGTAAAGATGTTGATTTATATCTTCAACTCCCTTCAATTCTTGTCGCTCCCATCTTTCGAGCCATGGTCGAGGTTTTAATTGAACTTTCAAAGGATTCACTGGAACTTGAGAGCCTTCCGGAATTAATTCTGGTTCCATATTAAGGTCAAAGGTGCTGTATTCTGGTAAAGCATCACGAAGATAGTAAAGCTTCTCATCAAGTCGCTTTTCAAGTTTAATAACTTCAATTTTTTGAAGCGTTGGATCATACATTTCAAATTTAATTTCAATGCCTTGATGATCGATGACATTTCGTAAAATGAAATTTGCTTTCAGTCCACAACGTTCTCGATCAATGCAAATACCTAAAAATCTGTTTGTTTTTCCTTGTGAATGAGGATCGGATGAAGTTGCTGCGACAATTGATCCAACATAGAATTCGGGGATGTAAATTTGAGTTCGCCGACTAAGCATGTCCTTTCTTTCTAATGCTTCTCTAACAGAATTTCTTAATCGGTGTTGAGGATCGGGAAGAAACTCCTGATATTGAAAACGATATTCTGGCGATATGAATGAAGACTTCTTTTTTAATATTTTTTGCTCAACATTAGATTCTTTAGCTTCTGATTCCGGTTGTGCAGATAAATATCGAACCAAAACATCTATAAATAATAAAAAATCGTTTACACCAAACATCTATCATTAATATTAATGAAACTCACTTTGTTTTCTATTTATTTGCCTCTGTAAAACTCGTATCATATTTATAATAAAATTTAAAAAATGAAAAAATTCTCGTGTTTTTGTTTTTTGTGTAAAAACGTTTTTATGCAACCATTGGCGGCACTTTGATCAAGGAGAAAATTTACCATC